TACCCACAGACAGATACCCACAGACAGATACCCACAGACACAGATACCCACAGACACGGACAGATACCCACAGACATGGACAGATACCCACAGACACAGATACCCACAGACACGGACAGATACCCACAGACACAGATACCCACAGACACGGACAGATACCCACAGACAGTAGGGGGTGAGGGGAATCATGTATTCGTTCCCCCAGTAATTTCTTCCCATGTCCAGCCCTGGTTGAAAGAATAAACCACATGTGCACCTTCTTTGCTTCTTTCGCTAAAGTCACGTAGATAGATAGAAGAAAAATAATACAAATAAAGATAATAAAGTATTATTTCTACTTTTATTCCTTTCATTCTCTATCTACGTGACTTTCCTAAAGAACCAAAGAATAATATTTCCTGCAGTCACGAAAGTTTTAAGTCAAAATTTCAGTTTTGGCATTATGGACATGATGCGAGAAACAGTGTTGTTCAAGGCCAAAAGCGTGACCCTCTGGTGCTCTCTACTGGATACATCTCAAAGCCCCTATCGGCTTATCCCAAGCATTTAATGGGATTTATTTGGACGAAGTGTATTTTTTTTTAAAACCTAAACGTATTTTTCACCACACACCGCATCCGACAACGTAGCGAACAAAACAGCTGTGAAGTTCATCTGCTTGGTTCTTTCGGTAAAGTCACGTAGAATGTAAATAAAATAATACAACATAATAAAATAAAATTCTCACGACGTTTCGGCCACAACACAAGTAGCCTTCTTCAGGTGAAGAAACAGGTCTGTCCAGAAGACAGCGCTTGAGTGTCTGGACAGACCTGTTTCTTCACCTGAAGAAGGCTACTTGTGTTGTGGCCGAAACGTCGTGAGAATTTTATTTTATTGTTTTCTTTTTATTATTTTATTTCCATTCTACGTGACTTTACCGAAAGAACCAAGAAGATGAATCCCTGCAGTCACGAAAGCTTTCAATCGAAAGCTATGAAGTTGATTGCCACAATTCAATATGGGCAGGCCTCGACTTACGAAAGGGTTCCATTCCCGAGACAGGTCGGTAAGTCGGAACGCAATGATATACAGGACTGTATTTAAATGCATGTGCGGTCAGCTTTATAAAATGTGTTACGGTTCAACAAAAAAGGGAAATACTGTTAAACTCATAAATAATCAATATTGTAGATTTACATGTAATACTGTAATCAACCCTATAGTAAAAACATAAAACAAAAGAAAATTACGTAAATCGAACTAAACATTTCAGTTGTATTTTCACTTACAGTCCCTAATTGCTGGCTTGCTTGTCGGAAGGGGCGTAATGAGTCCTCACAATTGCACACACACGTGGGGCCACGAGCAGACACACATGACAACAAAGATCACCCTTGTAGCCTTAACAGATTGTTGGGGCAAGTGCTGTTAGCGAGCACCTATAAAGTCCGGCACGGCACACGAGGGGGGTGGTTGGCCAACACTACGCCCGGCCGCCTTTGTCTCCCTAGTTGGCGATGTTTACACATCGCAGCAGGTACTCATTTGAGGCTGAGTTGACCTAGGGTAGGCCCAGAACCGGTTCAGATAATCGTCACTGGGGTTGGCCGTGAGCGGGAATCGAACCCGGGTGACCAGGTTCGTAGATCAGCGCGCTAACCACTACACTACCGCTCCCCACACACACACACTCGTACACTTAATTTCACACGCACACACAAAGATCACCCGTGTAGCCTTAACAGACTGTTGGGGAAAGTTCTGTGAGCGAGCACCTATGAAGGCCGGCACGGCACACGAAGGGGTGGGTGGCCAGCACCACGCCCGACCGCCTTTGTCTCTCCGGTGGTGATGTTTTTTTTAACGCACTACACTAGGTACTCATATATATGAGTCTGCGTCGACCTAGGGGAGGTCCAGGACCGGTTCACATAATCGTCACTGGTGTTGAGCAGGAATCGAACTTGGGTCGCCGGTTTCGTAGCGAAGCGCGCTAACCACTACGCTGCCTATCCCTCGTCCAGCGGGATGCTGTGACTCATTACATCTCGCCGAGAATCACTCTGCTGATCAAAATAGTCCCGGGGTTCAGTTGGCAAGCGCAAGTTCGCGCTCGCAAGTCGGATGGTTAAACATTTTACGCCTTATGGAAGCTTGCTCGTTAGTGCGGATGTTCGTAAGTCGTGCGTTCGTAAGTTGGGGACTGTGAATGTCACTGTGTGGTGCCGGGCTTGCGAGGCCACGGCGGATGTGTTGGCATTATGTGCAGCCCGCTTGCCGGGCGTAGTACCAGCCTTAGCGGGGCTTGGGTGAGTGCTGGTCAGCGCAGAAGCACCACGTATAGTGTGCGGTGTCAGCCAGCCAGGGTTACGTTGGTGCATGATACGCTGGTTGACCTGCCGACACGTGACCGGATTATATTGGAGGGGGGCCACCGGTGGACGGGGGCCGCTGGGCGGTCACGTGGTATAGAGGAGCTCTCGGGAGCCTTCGGGAAGGAGCTCGAGAGATCTAGAAGGTGGGCGGGGCGAGGGGCGGAGCCAGCCCCAGCCCGGGCCGATATAACGGGGGCCCCCGTGAGGGGCTCGAGGTTCTTGACTGTTGGTGAGTGAAGATCCACGTCGGGTTGGAGAAGCCTCTAGCCACGCAGTCCGGGACCCAGCTCGTGGTCCGGACCGGGATAGCGGGACCGTGTCTAGTTCTGCCGTAGCGTGGTTAGATGGGCGTTCAACACCCGAGTGTAGGTTACGTTATGTTGTGTTGAGTTGATGTAATAAATAGTGTTGCTCCCAAGACGTCTGCGACTCAGTTGGACTCACTACTTTTTGATATTGTGAGAGTGGGGAGTGGTGGTGCAGGAGTTAGTGCACTGCGCTACAAACCTGGCAGATTCCTGCTCACAGCCACCACTACCAACATCAGTGGCAGCGATTATCTGAACTGGGTCCTTGGCCTCCCCTAGGTCGACTCTATCCCAAATAAATACCTGGTGCGGTGTGTATTAACCGTCACCACTTGGGAGGCGAAGATGGCCGGGCGTGCATGGTGCTGGCTACCCATGCCCACGTGTGCTGTGCCGGCCTTCATAGTTGCTACTCGCGAAACACTAAAACTTGCTCCAACAGTCTGTTAAAGGCTACAGGGGGCTCTCAATGTGTGTGGCCTGAAAAGAAAAGTATATAATCAGCGGCGTTTCAGGAAATAGCCCTGCTTAATAGCACACACTGGTGTTAACCGAAACTAACCTTTTCTCTCCTTATCGCCAGTGTTGTTAATGTTTTCCTATTGAATATGTACGTCTAGAAAGAGTATTGTGTTCTCAAGTGTGATAAGAAATTTCCCAGGAACATAACCTCCCCTATTTAAATAGTTCTTCTGGGAAAATCGGTTACACGTAAACGTTGCTTCACTTAAAGTCGCATTTTCCAAGAACGGAAACCCAACATTAAGCGAGGAGTGACTGTACACAAAACGGTGATGGTCAAGACACATTCACAAATTTGGCCAAAACGTACTTTATCGTTTTTTTCACGTGACAAAAAATTATTATTATACGTTTCCCCACTTATTATTCACAATGAAGTCATTCACTTTATATTGAATAATAAAGCAATGACAATGTGGACAATTTTGACCAAAAACGACATGGGGTAGAATGTCAATTTGCTGTTCATCAGAAAGTTTTGGTGAAAATGTCCAACTATTCATTATATATGTAGCATTCTAAGACTAAACACAATGAAGTCATTCACTTTTTATTGAAAAATAAATCCCGGAAATTGTAAAAATATTTTTTTTTTTAATATTTTTCATCAGAAAAAATTATTGCGAAAATTGCCCCTTAAAAACTAGCCCAATCCTATGAGGTTATTATATTGCCCATCGGCTCAGACTCTTAGAAACCATTCTACCCTTTGCCATTGACACTGCTCCTCCTCTGTCGGCCACTCTGAACAATGCTACGCACCACCTGACACTGTCGCCAAGCACTCACCCGAGACCACGGCCAGTCACCCACCACTCACCTGACATCGGGCCCTCATCCAGACAGCACTCCACCACTCGACGAACAATACTCTGCTGACACTCATTCTCACCTAATCTCTCATTCACTCAATTATTATCATGCTTATCTCATTCAATCGCCATGCTCCCCGATGCCCTTCTATGGCTTTGGGGACCCAGCCATTGCTGGGGATGCCTGTTGCTAGGCCGACGGTTGTTGGTTCTCGTGGCCAGTAAAGGAACATTTTGATTTTGCAATGCACTTAAGCATTATTTGCTTCTGGGGCTTTTAATTTTGTCGTGCACGTAAAAAATGTGTCTTTTTTTTTGTTTCAACACCTGCGGCTTAAACATAATGGGTAGATGAACTTGAAAAAAATAAAGCAATTAAAATATGGGAAACATGTAAAAATGTTAAGTTTACCACTCTTTATATCTGGTACTGAATAACATACTAAGCCCTGCCCGACACTCTTGCGTGGGTAAACACTGCTTGTTCTTTATTTTAAATGTAAATGGCAGGATGGTCAAGTTATTTATAATCAAATAATAAATTGATAAAATAAAATAACACAATTATATTCTCACGACGTTTCGGCCACAACACAAGCGGCCTTCATCAGGTGAAGGGACGAGACTGACCTACCAGACAGTCTCATCCCTTCACCTGATGAAGGCCGCTTGTGTTGTGGCCGAAACGTCGTGAGAAGTTTATTGTGTTATTTTATTTTATCAATTTATTATTTTATTCTCATTCTACGTGACTTTACCGAAAGAACCAAAGAAGATGAATCCTTGCAGTCACGAAAGCTTTAAATCGAAATTTATTTATAATAGGGGACATTTCTGCTGATAGGATGTTTCGTAAAGGTGTGTGTCCAGTACATTCAGGCGGGAGGAAAACTATTTTTTTTTAAATGCCAACCAATTTCAATAAAACATATACTTGTTTGAGCCACCACTCTCCCCCAAACAGATCTTAAGTCATGAAGAAAAATACATTTCAAACAGTGTACACTTTCATTAAATGCATACATTTATTTTGATTGACAAGCGTTCAGAAAGGGTACAGGAAATTAGACTTTAAACTAAGAGACACATACAACAAGCTCACGATGTTTTACGTATTTTCAAGGCTTTATATTCGGTATCTTTTTTTGTATTTAGCCATCGGGACTTGTCAGTCTCACTATATTGTTTTTTTATTCCATCATAAACACTCAAATTTGGTTTAAAAAGCTGATCAATATTACTTTAAAACATTATTTTATTATTTACTCTTTTTTAAGTCACATTTCTTTCTTAGTGACGTAACCACTGGAGGGAAAGCAGCAATACATCATCTCCTAAAACAAACACTGAAAGCTTCTTTCATCATTGATCAAATCTGCCATCCTCGACTTAACCGGGTCACCTCAATCTCTCGTGCATGCACTTCCTCAACGCCGCAGCAACATTCCCCACACGTCACACACAAGACATTACAGTAATGCAGTACAACACAGACGAGGCATATATCACCGGCATACACCGTGACCGTTGAGAGGTGTAACACGTTCGGGAGTGAACACAAAGAGTGGAGGAATGATATAAGGACCGCACGATCAAGCAGCGACCGCACACGAGACGGACACAGAGGGAACGGGGCACTGTGCCTCTGTTGTACGTGGTGGAGGTGGTGGTGGTGGTGGAGGTTTGTGTCCTCGGGTGCCGTCGGGGTGAGCGGTGGAAAGGTGAACGTCGGGTGAGACACCTAGCGCCGGATGGCCAGGTGCTCCAGCTGCCCTACGTCAGAGATGTCGTAGCTGGCCTTGTACTTGGCCAGGATCTTGAGCACCGCACGCATCTTCAGCCACCACTGCTCCTTTGGAATGCGGTGCCTGACAGAATGCACATTGCACCGCGCCATTAATATTACTCAGCGTCTGATTAAGAAGCAGCAGCAGCAGCAGCAGCAAGAGAGGCCCAATTGCACTTAACATGTTACTTCCATTAGGCACCAACAATGAACACAGGTTCCCAGGGCTGTGGTACATGATGGAGTGTTTCTGCTTTAATTTTCTGCATGAATCGCTACGGCGCGTTAACTGCCTTTTTGTGCACGGATGGACAGTCTTGCCTTGGCACAATTCTTCACCACTAACATTCCCATACACACCTGTCTGCACTGGCCTGCTCCAAATGCACGGGAATGCCCCGAACTCCCAAAAAAACAACAATAGCCCCCACCCTCCCAAGCATATCTAGCCTGAGTACAGAACTCGAGTGACCCATCCTAGAAGGCATTGCAGTCCAATATTTGATTCATAACGAATACAAAATTTCCGTTATTTCAGCTTTTGGCATTTCAATTGATTTGATTCTCGATTAATGAGAGTCTCACCTTAACGAACGGCAGATGAGAAGGTTTGATCAGTAAGTCAAACGCAATGCTGCTAAATCTTATACTTGGTGACCCACGGTGGTGCTAGATTTACCGCCTTGGATTCCTTCCGTGTGATATAAAAGTGTGGAAAGAGCAGTGCAAATGCTAAACCACGCAACTTTATAATTCTGCATAATTACATTAAATGCCGAACGTAAAGTAACTCAAGGGGACATAAATCACGAGCGGAATCTAGCATCTTAGCATTCATCTGCTGTGGTTTAAAGCGGACCATTTTTAACACCCTTCTCAATACCTTGCATTAAATCTTTCGATCCTATGGTTGCAATTTCAAGGTGAGGCCAGCAAACTGACGTTGAGAATTCAAACGAAGCCCTGAACATGTCAATGCGGATTCCGCGTTGACACATTAAGGATCTCGGTTATGCTGTAGAACTGACAAACGTTTTACGTTCTTAAAACAGTCTTACCTTATTCTGTACACCGTCCATGAATACATCGCTGAATGCAAAATAATGTTTGATATAAGTGGGACATTTTCATTGTCTATGATAATGATATATATATATAATTTACGTCCAAATCCAGCCAGATTGCTCAGCATTAGAAAGAGGTGCTCGCAATCAGAAGGCTGCGAGATCAAGTCCAGTTTGGGGGATTGATTTAGCCCATTATCCCTCTGTTGACTTTGCGGGTGCTACCAGAGACTAGTCTCCATCGTAGGAATGTGGAATTTCCACCAGAGGCTCAGCGCTGTCAAGAGGAGGTAAGCACCAACTGAATGCTCATTAAGAGCATGAAATAAATTTTGGCAAATTGTCGTTCAATCTTCTTCTTTCGTATGGCACGTCAAATCCAATGAGGCAGATGTACAGATGCTTCTGGACATTCAGACATTCCATTGCTGGTATTTGGTTTATAGCTATGGCCATCTCAATCTAATGTCTACTGACACTGATGCATTATATCAAGTGACTGTGAAAACATAGGCACGTGCATAAATGTAACTACAGGTAGTCCCCGAATTATGATGGTCCGACTTACGATATTTTCGACTTACGATGGGGTCGTCGTAACGTATCTCCATCGTAAGTCGGGGACTACCTGTATACAATTCACCCCAAGAGAATTCCATCCAGAGTTTCCAAAAAATATCCGTGGGAAACACTAAAACGTGCATTACATTTTTGCTCATGGAAGATATAAACGTGCGGGGACGGAACCTCGATGAGCCCAAATGTTGGAGGTGATGATGACTGAATGAATGTGTGAAGATCTCTCACTCGAAGTCGGTCTCGGACTTGAGCGTCACCAGTGGTTGGAACTCAAGGGCACGCCGGCGCATCCCGAGCAGGCAGGCCGAGTCATCGGAATTCGCGAACACATGTCCTGGGAAAAAAATACAAAGACCCTCCGTATATATATGTCCTGCAACAGCCTGTTGGGACAAGTGACGTTAGCGAGCATCTATGAAGGCCGGCACAGCACACGAGAGGTGTGGGTGGCCAGCACCACGCTATCTCCCGAGTGGCGATGTTTATACACTGCACGAGGTACTCGTTTGAGGCTGAGTCGACCTAGCAGAGGCCCAGGACCTATTCAGATAATCGTCACTGATGTTGGGCATAAGGGGGAAGCGAACTCGTGTCGCCATCGTGTGGGATACACACACACATACACAGCACGATAGGCAACTACTGTGAGCATGAGTCAAGGGGTATAAGTGCAGCCCTCCCATTACACGACATTTCTTAACATTTTTCATTCACCGATTTGAATGCCACTAAGTAAAAGCTGTGAAAGCTTACATTTCTGAAACATACCTGGCGGTAAGCCACATAATGCTTGTTATAGATAAATATACACAGCAGCCATTCATAGCGAATATCCGCACCATCTTACACGCTCCATCGAAGCAAATGTGGAGAGCTTTGTGATATATCATCAGCTTACATTTCCGAAAGTGCAACTTCAGTGAAACCACATACGGCGAATCAACGCGGCACCTGAACGCCGATTCAAAAACCAAGCAAGCCTGCAAAAGTCCCTTGTCAATCTACTGTTGTATTAAAATGTCACGTCATGGTTGTTTGACCATACTTCACGACACTGGTCAGCAGTGCAAGTTGTGAACTGGAGACCCAGGGCCAGTTCAGATACCACTCGCCACCGATGTTTGCTATGCCCAAGGAATTAACCCAAGTCACCGGGTTCAAAGAGAAGTGTGCTGACCACTGCACCCACTGCTCCTAATCCTCCCATATTTGTTCCGAATGGTCGTAAATTTTCGGCACGAAACTTATACTCGGGACTTTGTAAATATTAACACTGCACATTTTCGGCAAGTCAAACCGTGGTGTCTTTAATCAACGCAGATGTCAAAAGATGCCTCGCTCAAAGTTGCTCGCGTCCACGGAGCGTACGGGCGGAAGCAACATAAAATTACGTGCAACATCGCGCCAAATTTGAGAGGTTAAGCCGCGGGAAATCCCAAAGGATCCCGACGTGCTGTGGGTAACGTATGCGAGGTGGTGTGGGAGGTATATTCATTAGCATAACATCTGGATGGAATGGTGGACACGAGCCCCACCGGGCTAATTACAGTTTGATGTGAGAAAGGAGTTAAAGATAAAATAAGAACCACACACACACGCACGCGCACACACCTCTACGATCGCCACGTTGCCTTCGGAGAAGAAAAACATTACCTTAATCTAGCAATCAATTTATTCCGCATCACTTTGCGATAGCACCACGGGTGAGTTATTGTTTCATTGTCAGAGCATTAAATCAAAAACCTTGCCGATTCTCAAGCGCTGAACTTGAGTACACAATGGCTAAATACTTGCCTGGTGTGTGTGTGTGTGTGCAGCCGTTTATGAAAGTAGCCAACAGATGAACGCATCTACTGATGCATATGAAAGCCGTGGACACCTGTGTTTGTATAATTTCGCCTTCTGATTTTATCCTGGCACATTATGATCATATTAACGTTTTATGCAATATTCTTAGCTCTTTCGGTAAAGTTACGTTGAAGGGAAACAATAAAATATATATTTTATATTATTTGTGACTTTACCGAAAGAGCTAAGAATATGAATTACTGCAGTCACGAAAGCTTTAAATAAAAGTTTTATGCAATGTTTCTTCTCACTATGTATATTCATTACTTCACGAGTGTTTTTACATTCGTCTTTGTACACGTTTGTTTTATATTAACTTGTGTCGAACATAAAGATTAGTATTCTTATTATTACTTGCAGGGTTGCTGCTGCTGCTGCTGCTGTGCAGCGTATTAGTCTGATCAAGTCCCAAGGCACATTTACGATTTATTTTTCCTCTACCAACATGTAGCAGGATTTAAATGCGAGCCTTCCAAAGCGCCACGGCCACTTGGAAGATGTGAGGGGTCAACTCGGCTCATCATCATTCCCCTGTGGTTGACAAAAAAAGCGAGTACCGCTTTGAGCGGTTGTTCTCCAGAGAAACTGATCCACTCACACAGGAATGTGGAATCTCCACCGTTGGCTCAGGACTGCCAATGGTTGTACACTCGTGGTGCACAGCGTGCAGGAGTAGGAGCCAAGCAAATTGCTGAAAGTCGAACTGCAGCAGCTATTCCAGAATGCCGTTGCAAAGTTCAAAGAGGCTGGGGGGGGGGGGCATTCTCTGGCAGATCAATGGCCGGTCGCCAATACAGTCTGTTCTCCTACAACGCAGTAGTAGTTGCCTTCCTGAAGAACACTCGCGTTATGGAAAAATCGCGTTGTTAACACGCGAGATGCGTACGCAGACTGAACAAAGACCGAAGCGCGTGGGGGCAGCATCTAGGAGCATCCAGCAGCATCCCGCCTTTGCGCTCCACCGAGGCAGCCGTACGACCGCTTATCCCCACTCGTGCGACGCGGTTCCGTTCACTCGATCGCGTTACATTGAATCCGCATCCGCGTTGGAAAAAAAAAAATGCAATCGCCAATACGTTAACCGCGTTATGCCCAATTAACGTTACGAAAACCACGCGTTGTAACAGGAGAACAGAATGTACCGCCGAGGCGCCGTTGCCGCCGGAAGGACGAACGACGAGACGTTCGTAGGTGGCGAGCGCGGTGCAGAGTCGGTGCACACGGCCCTCGAGCTCGCTTTCTCTTTTGCTCGCTTGAAACTTGGAGCGGGCCTCAAGCGAGGACCCGGCCAGGGGTGAGCCACAAGGCCATGAGCGTAACTGACACGCTTTGACCCGACAGGTAAAGTTCAGGTTCATTAATTGCTTGCTCGTGTGCAGTGTGTGTGTGTGCGTGCGTGTGAATAATGGGGCAACAATGGGGCTTGTTCTATGCGACACTGTGGCCGAACAGAGCTGCGTTCGTTACGCAGGTCGTGACCGCTCATCTGTGTTACCCAACACAGATTTAAGATGTAAGTAGGTTGAACAAAATTCATTCAATTTACCTTTATCTGTCTCCATGAATGGTTACAAAGGGAGAGAAGAAGATTGTTAGTATAAATGCAATTTCCAAGAGTATCATTTAAACATGTCAACATTGTCATACGTTAATAACCCCTCATTAATAAGACTGCTTTGCAAAACCGCCTTCCAAAGAAACAATAACAAAAAATATCTCTTATGCAACTAGTATCACCAATGCCATATTAGTGTGACAAAGTAATTCTTACATGTTGTTTTCATTTTATGTTTAAAAAATTATAACCCCTGGAAAATATGTTCAAGCTAAGTGGTAAAACATCAAAAGTAAATACGTAAATAACACATGACAAGTTTTAACAAAAGAGACAATGCAATGCTCTTCAAAGAATAGTTCCTACAAAATGTTCCAATGGAACAACAGTGCCTCCTCATTGCCTACGAATTTAAATATAAGTGTGTCCATTTCAAATAGCATACCACCTGTAAATTTAAACGATTACATGCACATTCAATCAAGATGACACGTGAAAGGTTATTTCTAAAGGCAATCCATTCCCAAGGCTTTGTAAAGTATTGCATATGCTGAGGGCTGCAAGGTGCCAGGGGAAGGGAGTAACAGCAACAGATGTAGATGGGATTAGTCCACTCACTGGATCCCCATCTGTCTTTTTAATTGACTGTATCTTTGCAAGGCTTTAAGTGTTGTCCACTCACTTGTGTGTGGGTTGACCCCAGTCATTCTGTTTGCCTGACACATGCACATTTATAAATAATATTGGCCAAAAGTCCCAGTCCAGGACCCTTCTGAAAGAGAGTCCTAAGAATTAGGATGACTTTTGTGGTCATATAATTGGCATTCTATCTTCAGCAAGAAAGGGGATGCGTATCACGATAGTGCTCAAAACGCTTTTACCCTCGTGGCTTCCTGTTTATCAGAATGTCTCTCTCGTACCCTGCGGTGGCGATATGTTTACTCCCTCACCTGGTATACAGGTCATTGATCCCGACCCTGATGCCTATATATTTGGAGTTTGCATGTTCTCTCTCCCCGTGATCGTGTGCATGTTTCTCCTGGTCCTCCGGTTATTCCCTCCACATTTAGAAACATGCATTTAAAGTATTGCTGCTATAAATGTCCTCGTGAAAAGCCACTTCGTTGAGCTTTTATTTGCGGCCAGGTTGCTTCTGAAAGAGCTATATAGCTCAGTGGGCCTTACCTGGTAAAGTAAAAAAAACAATTGTTATGGTTTAGTAATGGCCTCCTTATTTCTCTGAAAGTCTCATTAGCAACGTACCGTGGCGGTAGCATTCTGTGAGCTTCTTCGTGAGCCACTGGATGGCCTTGGCAGCGATCTTCGTCCCAAAGTTCCTGTCGAACGGGGATGGAGCACCACCCTTGAGCGCACGTGGGGGAAAAAAAAAAAACCAGAAACATTATTACCAGTATGGATTAATGCCCTGCCCCAGACAATTGAAGGTAATAAGAAAATAGAAAAAACACAATAGATAAAGGGTTTTTTTTTTGGTCGGCAAAATGGCACGTAATCCATTTCCCAAATAGAAGATTAAAAGTAAACAAGGCAAACCATAAGCCAGTCGTCTTCACTGTCAAGCATGCGATCACTCCATTAAATGCGATTTCATTTTTGACTCCACATCTACCATGTACATGAAAAACCATTTAAAGGATACTCACCGCTTGTTACATGTCCAATGTTTAAGATAAATTAAGTTCTCCAAAAAAATGAGGAAGCATCTTTCAGTGTGCTGCTTTTACTAATCAACATACCATCTGGTTATAATAGGAGAGGGGGGGCCTTATCCACCTTATCCACCGAACAAAAGGTACGAATCAAGATGATTGGACTGCAAACGAGAGGACTCCACTTCACACAGAGAAACGCATACCCGGTCGTCTTGTACGACAACACCCACGGGATAAATGTCGCAGTCACGGCAGACTTCAACTCAAGGTTGATTTACGAAATAACAACAAAAACCGTCTCTACCTTTTCATCCAAACAAGCCCCTCTTTATTCTCTGCCCCGAGTGCATCATCGCTTTGCCGCAGCGACGCGTCTATGTGCCCTCACCTGCTGCATGTGACCCAAGACGTTCTTGCGGCAGTCGAAAACCCCTTTACCCTCCTCCGAGTAGAGGTTGTAGATGAAGTCCGTCGTGTAGTTGGGATTAGACAGCTCGTTTCTACAAGGCAAGGAAGACAACCTCGTTATCGGTGTGAAATGTGTCAATGGAGCTCTGCACTTTTAAGCCCAGATTTAAAAAAAAAACCCAATTTCTTTAGAACTGCTCGTATGAACTTCAACATACGTACATACAAAGGACGGTGGTGTTTCATGATGGTTGTTCAATCATCTCCATAAAGCAAGTGTTCATTTAGACTGTGCCTTTATATCCAAAATGTAAACACTGTGGGGAAATGTTCACGATAAAAGGGAATATTATACTGGGTATAGGAACACAACATGCACCTATATAATTATGAGTAAATGTGCTTATTTACACCAAATGGATGCTTTAAGCTCCGTGTAGATAGCTTTTCTTCCAAGGAATATACCGTTGCTCATTAAAAAAGGCTACTGTGGCCCATGACACTGCCGTACACTGGATTACAACTGCAAACTTATCGTAGGGGTTTATTTTGTCATTGAAAGAAGAAACTTGATATATCATGACAAACAAAAGACGAAACAAAAGACATCATACCACATCGATAGACGCTTCCCAAAATGTAATAATCTTTAAAATTAAATCAATGTCGAGGCAATTTTCACAACTAATATCGACAATTGTATTCAAGAGGAGCTAAAAACAAACCAAAGTTACATTTTAATTAAATCCGTTTAAAATTGTATGCAGGACCGTTTAGAAGTACAACAATTAAAACATTTCTTTAGATATAAAAAAAACATATATCATTAAAAACCCCACTGGTTTGAAAAATTGTTGCGTGCATTTTTTTATCATTTAAACCATCATTAGGAGGGTCCCAGAGCAATTTGATGATTAAAGCTCTGCGCTGCTAATTCTGGAGCGATTCCCAATGCAAAACCCTCCTTCCCGGAGGCAGATATAAAATTAGTTCCAGTTGAATAAAGTATTTTTGAAAGCAATGACGAAAAAAAACTAGCATGTATATGTGCCAAGAATGTTTACACAATTAAAGTTGTTTTGTCTACAAGGCATTGAATCACTTTCATGCTGCTGCTGCAGGTGAATAAGTTAATAATTGCCCCGAGATGAAAACAACACATAATTAGACTCTTCTGCTGTGGCACAGTCAATCACACATTATAGATTACTCAACAGAAACCCATTCATAATACATAAAGACTAGGGCAAATCCAGTAGAAAAAAAATCAGCCAATGCATTAACAAGCTGAACCATTACATGACCAGTCATTTGTTAACCTGGATATGTTATTTCGTGAGGCATTATATGTAAAAAAAAAGACACGTGCTGTTTTTCACAGTTCCACTCAAGCATAGCAAGCTGGAAAGTTGGCAGCACGGACGGCGAGGCACACCAGAACACCCCGATCACTGCGATACACAGGACAACCCACCGGTAAGGCTATTTTTAGATTCCCTGTAGAAAGCGAATGCAAAGACGCCCAGCAAGAATTGTAACAACTCAAAACATTCATCCATTTCCTCTGAGAAAGAAGGGCAATTGTCCAAAACGTCACCTCCAAAAAACACTCTTCCTTAAAGGCCACACAGTGGTACAGAGAGGGAAAAAAGTATTTGATCCCCTGCTGATTTTGTACGTTTGCCCACTGACAAAGAAATGATCATTCTATAATTTTAATGGGAGGTTTATTTGTACAGTGAGAGACAGAATAACAACAACAAAATCCAGAAAAACGCATGTCAAAAATGTTATAAATTAATTTGCATTTCAATGAGGGAAATAAGTGTTTGACCCCTCTGCAAAACATGACTTAGTACTTGGTGGCAAAACCCTTGTTGGCAATGACAGAGGTCAGACGTTTCTTGTAGTTGGCCACCAGGTTTGCACACATCTCAGGAGGGATTTTGTCCCACTCCTCTTTGCAGATCTTCTCCAAGTCATTAAGGTTTCGAGGCTGACGTTTGGCAACTCGAACCTTCAGCTCCCTCCACAGATTTTCTATGGGATTAAGGTCTGGAGACTGGCTAGGCCACTCCAGGACCTTAATGTGCTTCTTCTTGAGCCCCTCCTTTGTTGCCTTGGCCGTGTGTTTTGGGTCATTGTCATGCTGGAATACCTATCCACGACCCATTTTCAATGCCCTGGCTGAGGGAAGGAGGTTCTCGCCCAAGATTTGACGGTACATGGCCCGGTCCATCGTCCCTTTGATGCGGTGAAGTTGTCCTGTCCCCTTAGCAGAAAAACACCCCCAAAGCATAATGTTTCCAACTCCATGTTTGACGGTGGGGATGGTGCTCTTGGGGTCATAGGCAGCATTCCTCCTCTTCCAAAACAGCGAGTTGAGTTGATGCCAAAGAGCTCCATTTTGGTCTCATCTCACCACAACACTTTCACCCAGTTGTCCTCTGAATCATTCAGATGTTCATTGGCAAACTTCAGACGGGCATGCATATGTGCTTTCTTGAGCAGGGGGGCCTTGCGGGCGCCGCAGGATTTCAGTCCTTCACGGCGTAGTGTTACCAATTGTTTTCTTGGTGACTATGGTCCCAGCTGCCTTGAGATCATTGACAAGATCCTCCCGTGTAGTTCTGGGCTGATTCCTCACCTTTCTCATGATCATTGCAACTCCACGAGGTGAGATCTTGCATGGAGCCCCAGGCCGAGAGAGATTGACAGATCTTTTGTTTCTTCCATTTGCGAATAATCGCACCAACTGTTGTCACCTTCTCACTAAGCTGCTTGGCAATGGTCTTGTAGCCCATTCCAGCCTTGTGTAGGTCTACAATCTTGTCCCTGACATCCTTGGAGAGCTCTTTGGTCTTGGCCATGGTGGAGAGTTTGGAATCTGATTGATTGCTTCTGTGGACAGGTGTCTATTATACAGGTAACAAGCTGAGATTAGTAGCACTCCCTTTAAGAGTGTGCTCCTATTCTCAGCTCGTTACCTGTATAAAAGACACCTGGGAGCCAGAAATCTTTCTGATTGAGAGGGGGTCAAATACTTATTTCCCTCATTAAAATGCAAATCAATTTATAACATTTTTGACATGCGTTTTTCTGGATTTTTTTGTTGTTTTTCTATCTCTCACTGTTCAAATAAACCTACCATTAAAATTATAGACTGATAATTTCTTTGTCGGTGGGCAAACGTACAAAATCAGCAGGGGATCAAATACTTTTTTCCCTCACTGCATTGATGTGTGTTCAGTTTTTATGATTTGTGCTTGCGCATCACTGGGTTACCAAATACCCAGTAAGAATGGTATAGCATATAAACCCGGAACCTCCTCAAAAAGTTAATGATTTTTATTTTACCAGGTAAGGGCCACTGAGCTATAACTCTATTTCAGAAGCAACGTGGCCACAAATGATGGCTCAACGAAGTGGCTGATCATCATTAGACTTCCTTTTCCAGTACCAAAATGTAATAATAAGGTTTTTCAACTTTTTTCTGGCAACAAAACTGAAACCTTTTTACAAGGATTCATGTCTGCACTAACCACAATACCTGCAGTCAAAATGCAAAAAAAAACATACTATGATAATATATGCATTGTCCTTGAAACTGATTGGTCCACACCAAGGGACGGCTTTCTTTTGAGCCTCGACCCAATTGGTGCTCGACCAGATGACGCCAGTCAGTTTCAAGGACAATGCATATATTATCATGGTATGTTTTTTGTTTGCATTTTGACTGCAGGTATTGTGGTTAATGCAGAAATGAATCCGTGTAAAAAGATTTCAGTTTTGTTGCCAGAAAAAAGGGGAAAAACCCTATTCTGAAGTGGCTGATCATATAGAAATGTATAGCAGCCAAATACTCTAAACGCATGTTTCTAAATGTGCAGGGAAAACTCAGAGGACCCATAGAAAAACCACATGACCAAGGGAAGAGAAAACATGCAAACCACCAAATATACAGGCGTCAGGGTTGGGATCAAACACACGAGCTCCTGCATACCAGGCGAGGGAGTTAACATCTCGCCACCATTGCGCCCAAACAGTATGGCAATTTCCCAAAATGTTTTCAATATTCCCAAGTGACAACTGCTGCTTATTGTACAAAGAATGCTATCATGTGAATGCAAGTTCAGAATCTGTGAATTATTATTTTTCTCTTCCCACATTGACTGCCATTGCTACTGCAATATCATTCACATTGACGGAGCAATCGCCCAAAATAAGCAGCTCCACATGTAAAACATTTGATGGAGTACCGACATTCGATTAATAACGAGCTTGTGGCCGCTACTGAAGTATACGCAGCACTCACAGTCCCGTGTTGCTGGAAGTTATTATACAACTGCAGAGCTAATCTTAGTAGCGCCAGTAAGATTTATGTTTTTGCCGACCAATTTTCATAATGCCCAAAAAACAACTAGCTATAATTACATAAGACACGAGCCCCACCAGTATGTGCCTATGCCTTGCAACAATTTAGTCAGAAACATCATTACCAGTACCTATAGCAAACACAAAATGCAGGTTGTATTTATTTGGCCTTCAGTAATTGCATTCCACTTAGAGCTGCGACGATTATTAGATTACATCAATCATCTATCGATTCTAAACTTTTCAAATTTTTGGAGTTGATTACTTTGGCCCTTTTAAAAATGGTGATTGTCCCAACATTTGACAGAACCCATACAAGCCAAGCCCAAAGCAACATGCCTGATGCCAATGATGTCACCAAGCCCCGCCCATCACTTCCCATCCAGCGGCACATGTGGCAGACTTGAGACCTTTTCTCCAATATATTTTGGCCTCATGCGATAAGTCGATCACTCCGACCAATAACCCGTACAGTGATCGATTGCTCACGTAATGATATAAGCCAGCTGTAATTGTCATCAACAGATTTGACAATAACCATAATCGCATCGTGATCACGAACGTCTTTGAGAAAGGACACGACACATACAGAGAGATAATTACATGCATACATAATATGACTGAGAGTAAACCTCATCAGCATAATAACGTTTAGAGAAGAAGCTGACATCTCACCTCAGGACAAGCCCACGCTGAATGCCCGTCTTCATCTTCTCCGCCAAATGCTCAACGTTGGCCTAAAACAGACAAGCGAGGGCATGAATATCGTGGGAAGGATTTTTGCTCGGTCGGTTACAGTGGGTCACAATTAAACGGGGCAATAATGTGGCACAATACAGATTGCTTACAAATTCGTTGGTTGCAGCATTTACATCTTTACCTATTGATTTTATGCTACTTGCATCTTCTTGGTTCTTTTGGTAAAGTCACGTAGAAGGGAAACAATAAAATAATAATAATGTTTTATATTTACAGTGTTTTATATTTATTATATGTTTTATATTTTTATTATTTTATTGTTTCCCTTCTACGTGACTTTACCGAAAGAACCAAGAATATGAATCCCTGCAGTCACGAAAGCTTTAAATCAAAAGTTACTTGCATCCTTTACATTACCGAAACAGTGGCATGTACCTTTATGGAAGACAACCTTCACATGACACGAGTTATGCGATGGCTTTTGGATAAGGGAGGAAAAATAACAATGTAATTGCACAGATTTGGCTGATGTTTTGGTGCTTCATACGGACACTGCCGTAATATTTTAACAGACCTGCTTTTTTTCTCTGGAAGGACCATTGCCTAGGATATTCATAACGTTTTGGCAAAAGTGGCAGAGCAGAATTAATGCTACTGCGTCTTAACTTCCGCTCGAAGACACGTAACGAATGTTCCCTTTGTGAAAGCATTGTTCGCTGTGTCAATGATGCGAGATGTATTTGGCTCGTTCTGTTAATTACTTTAATGGCTGGCTGCAGTTTTTTGTGTTCAGCTGCAATGGGACATTAGAAAAACCACTGCTGGACTCGAGTGGCCTCTTTACATGCAACTGTATCCAAAATCAATAGTCCACAAACTGGTACGGAATAGATTAATCCACACGGCAAATGATGGCCCTAATAAGATAGCATCATTCAACAGTGGGCCAACCCGAGCAGGGCTTCGCAAAACGTGGCAGAGACTAAAGAGCTGGAGAGAGAAGTGATAACCTTCCACGTCGAAGCAGCAGTGAAACAGCTGAAAACTAGCAATTCAGCAGGAGTGCGTTCGGTATTCCTGCAGATATGTTGATCGAAGGTGGCTGACAGATGCTGAGCTAGCCTGATGTATAATACAATCAAGGCAGCGCGTGGAGGAGACAGCAGAAGCCCACAGGGTTGATAGAAGGCCATAATCATATCGTTACGTAAACGTAAAGAGGGGGGGGAGGTAACAGAGTGTGTTAATTCTCGCGGGGTACATTCACTGAGCGTTCAAGGAAGCTGCAGTGGAGGTGCCTTTCCTCGAGCTTTGCTGAATCGGATAACAACAACCGCCATTCGCCATTAAGTGACGGTGACGTCACCACGACGCTTGTGCCAGGCCATGTGCACCTTGAGGCCACGTGAAGTGTCGAACGCCCGCTGACAGGAGGTCACGGGGCAGACCCAAGTGCCACGGGTCGACTGACTAAGATGACTGAGATGACTGGCTGATGCACTGCCCCCTACACACAGATATACATACACTGAAAGAAACCCCACTGTGGTTTTTAGAGATGGGATGGGTTGTAGCAATGAGTTATGTTACCAGTTTTTTCTATAAACACTACATTTGTAGATACCGGGTCAGCAGCCGATTATGGACCTTTAAATTATTTAGATTCTACATTTAGACCTTGACACGAGCTTAAAAAACGTTGACAGAAGTGGTTAGGAATGAGTCTCTTTAAATGTAAGTAATACGTATAATGCAGGGGGTTGTGATAAAGAGGGCAATATATAATATATATATGGAATCCATATGGTAAATGATGGCCCTAAGTTCATATGTAATATATTGCATTACAAGATGGATTTTTTGATAAAATGCATAAACCACTTTGTGATGTCGTCAAAATGGCAGTTTGAGGCAGACTTAATTTGTCACTGTGTAGGGCATAAAATAATTTAACAAAACAACTGGAAAATATATTTATGGCCTGTGAATATGGGTGAAAGTGGAGGATGCTGGCCATTTCATAGCAGGACAGGGTGAAAAACATTTTCTTAACCTTATGGGTTTCAATGATGTTGGCTATAGCTGTGGACATTACATAAATGATCATCGAGAACCATTTAAGAAGATCGGAGGAAGAGTTTTACTTCTGCGTTTGAAAAAGTCTCGTACACTTAAATATATCTGATACACTTAAATACGTGACTGCAAGCAGGCTAACTGTGTTACATTTTGCTGCACACAAAAGCGGGCCGGCTTTGACCAGAAGTCAATTGAACACCATTTCATCTTCTCTTTGAAACAAAATGTTCACACAAGGTGAATGCTGTCAAATTGTTGTTGGCCCACAGGTGACATAAGCTACAAAATTCCCGGTGGACCCAGCTTGAGTAACCACCTGGGGGACGAGAGTGGATGGGTGACTGCCATCGCACGATTGCAGTGGGGGCTGTGGGAAGTAGAGGGCAGTGCGGCAACATCCGTTTCTGTTTTGCACTCCACCCCTCGATCCGCATTGACCGGAGTGGTGAAGTATGGGCACATAACTCTCACCCAGCAGTGAACTGACAAACGGGTTCTTATCCCTCTCGTGAATATAAGAAAATATGATGAAACGTAACTACGGTGGAGCATCTCCTATTCAAGGCACATAAAAACCAAGGCCGGTTTTCTGACCAAAACTGTATAGAGTGAGGGAAAAAAGTATTTGATCCCCCGCTGATTTTGCACGTTTGCCCACTGACTAAGAAATTATCAGTCTATAATTTTAATGGTAGGTTTATTTGAACAGTGAGAGACAGAATAACAAGAAAATCCAGAAAAACGCATGTCAAAAATGTTATAAATGTATTTGCATTTTAATGAGGGAAATAAGTATTTGACCACCTCTCAATCAGAAAGATTTCTGGCTCCCAGGTGTCGTTTATACAGGTAACGAGCTGAGAATAGGAGCACACTCTTAAAGGGAGTGCTCCTAATCTCAGCTTGTTACCTGTATAAAAGACACCTGTCCACAGAAGCAATCAATCAATCAGATTCCAAACTCTCCACCATGGCCAAGACCAAAGAGCTCTCCAAGGATGTCAGGGACAAGATTGTAGACCTACACAAGGCTGGAATGGGCTACAAGACCATTGCCAAGCAACTTGGTGAGAAGGTGACAACAGTTGGTGCGATTATTCGCAAATGGAAGAAACACAAAAGATCTGTCAATCTCCCTCGGCATGGGGCTCCATGCAAGATCTCACCTCGTGGAGTTGCAATGATCATGAGAACGGTGAGGAATCAGCCCAGAACTACACGGGAGGATCTTGTCAATGATCTCAAGGCAGCTGGGACGATAGTCACCAAGAAAACAATTGGTAACACACTACGCTGTGAAGGACTGAAATCCTGCAGCGCCCGCAAGGTCCCCCTGCTCAAGAAAGCACATATATATGCCCGTCTGAAGTTTGCCAATGAACATCTGAATGATTCAGAGGACAACTGGGTGAAAGTGTTGTGGTCAGATGAGACCAAAATGGAGCTCTTTGGCATCAACTCAACTCGCCGTATTTGGAGGAGGAATGCTGCCTATGACCCCAAGAACACCATCCCCACCGTCAAACATGGAGGTGGAAATATTATGCTTTGGGGGTGTTTTTCTGCTAAGGGGACAGGACAACTTCACCGCATCAAAGGGACGATGGACGGGGCCATGTACCGTCAAATCTTGGGTGAGAACCTCCTTCCCTCAGCCAGGGCATTGAAAATGGGTCGTGGATTGGTATTCCAGCATGACAATGACCCAAAACACACGGCCAAGGCAACAAAAGGTCCTGGAGTGGCCTAGCCTGTCTCCAGACCTTAATCTCATAGAAAATCTGTGGAGGGAGCTGAAGGTTCGAGTTGCCAAACGTCAGCCTCGAAACCTTAATGACTTGGAGAAGATCTGCAAAAAGGCGTGGGACAAAATCCCTCCTGAGATGTGTGCAAACCTGGTAGCCAACTACAAGAAACGTCTGACCTCTGAGATTGCCAACAAGGGTTTTGCCACCAAGTACTAAGTCATGTTTTGCAGAGGGGTCAAATACTTATTTCCCTCATTAAAATGCAAATCAATTGATAACATTTTTGACATGCGTTTTTCTAGATTTTGTTGTTGTTATTCTGTCTCTCACTGTTCAAATAAACCTACCATTAAAATTTTAGACTGATCATTTCTTTGTCAGTGGGCAAACGTACAAAATCAGCAGGGGATCAAATACTTTTTTCACTTACTGTAGCCCCAGCAATTATAAGTAGCTAAATTTATTTTAAAAATTTACAGATTGCCATTGATGCTGGTTTCCGTTGAGCATTAAGCAGGCGTACAATGGATGTTTGTGCTTGTTTAGTACAATGGCTTGGCTAACATTCAATAGCATGACAGGACTTGTCACTAAAACTTACCTTCACACACACGAAAGTGGCACTGCTAGATTCAGCGGGAACGTGCGGTTATGTGCAGTGCAGTAATAGGATATGATCATTGCTTTCCCACATTCTAAGATCAAGTTCCTCAGTTGATTCCAATCATTCCCATAATTCAAACAACCTAGGCTTGATTGGGCACTTTTCCTTATTTGGCAGGAATCCTTGATTGGTTTCACGAATAAACCCATGTTTTTTCATGAAAGATTGGAGTTTTATTTTACACCAACACTTTCAACCCACTTGATTAAATAAAATGCCATTTCGGCATTTTTACATTTAATCCCTGCATGTCATTCACCCTGATCTTAACCACAAATCAACGGTGAAATACAGTGGAATAAATTTTTGGCTCACGCTATTGGTCAAAATTTAACACGACGCACAATCGCTTGGTCTGCGTACCACCCCGCCAAGGCTAGACTCCACGTCTAAATTTTCAAATCAACCCCGAAATCGTATCTTAAAGTAAGAAAAAATAAATAACGGGATTGATTACAAAATGCAAGAAGCCACTCGGCATTTCCCATGAATCATTCCTTTTTTGCACTCCGCCACTTCTCATGCGGCACACTACTACCACTCGCGTAGAGGAAGCGCGACCACTATCGTTTGTCAAAAAAGTGCGATTAATAGACGACTGAAATTGGTCCACAGAGTGCACGCGACCTCGGTGGGCCTGAACCCGAGGCGTGGTCGGCTGCCCTGCGACAAGAGCCATTGGAGCGGCACCCTCCTCCCTGCATCGGGATACAGAGCGCTGCTACCTCCAGATCCCGGATGTCGAAGGGCTCCTCGTAGATGTAGGCGGCGTCAGCTCCGGCCGCCAGACCTCCCATGTTGGCCAGGTACCCGCAGTAGCCACCCATCGTCTCGATGATGAACACGCGGCGCTTTGTGCCGCTGGCCGACTGCTTGATGCGATCGCACGTCTGGCGGGAACGAGAGGGGGTTGGAAACGTTCAGCGGCTTTGCGACGATTGTTGGAGCTTCAGCACCCCCCCCCCCCCCCCGAGTGCATTGATTTCACGAAGCAAGAGTCTTCCCTTCAAAAGCTTTTCTCTGGAAAGGCCATTGCCCAGAATGTTCACCTACTATATTACTTATAATGCACCATAAATTATGCTGTTATTTCTGTTTGTACACAAACGTCCTTTTACATTTTACATGAACATTGTTCGTTACATTTTAGGACTGTACATTTTTGCCCTCGTTCGGTACGTAATGCAAAATATATCCTGACATTTTTTTTCCACCAGTCCCTATGCATAAATTTAATATTGTTTGGGTCAGTATTTCAAAAGTTAATCCACCAATGGGTAATGTACAGATCTGCTAAAATTACATTATAGACATATACACTCAAAAGGTTACCACACTTTAAAAGTGCATCACATCAATTTCTTTTACATTTCGATATTACACATCAACCAAACAGACACAATTTCAACTGAGAAGATGGGTACAAACTTAGCAATCATTGGAAGGACGTTATCAACCAGTTTAAGGGATAACTGGCTGTGATGTTCCCATCCTGCCACCTTCCGATATTAGTTGTTATTTTCAGCTCACCGATTTTACATTAACAGGTTAAATTTCTCACACCGAAACAGCCACCTTCGCACGGCCACCTCGACGTGGCGACGGCTCTGCGATCTCACATTAACATGCGATCTCTCACATTAACATGCGATCTCTCACATTAACACGCTAATCTCTCACATTAACATGCTAATCTCTCACATTAACATGCGATCTCTCACATTAACATACTAATCTCTCACATTAACATACTAATCTCTCACATTAACATACTAATCTCTTACATTAACACGCTAATCTCTCACATTAACACGCTAATCTCTCACATTAACATGCTAATCTCTCACATTAACATGCTAATTACTCACATTAACATGCTAATCTCTCACATTAGCATGCTAATCTCTCACATCAACATACTAATCTCTCTCATTAACATGCTAATCTCTCTCATTAACATAGCCACCTCAGCACGCTCGCCGTGGAGGCCGCTCACCGATCTCACATTAATATGCTAATTTTTACCTGGCAGCCCTTTTATTGGTGGAAACCCACCACCATCGCGGTCACTGCCCATCACTTACATTAGCTGCTCTGCCCATGCTGCTGACATTTGGGCTACGCCCATTTTAAACTTTTATCAACAGTTTGCCTTTAGAATCTAACCCCCTTTTCCTGATGACGACCGCTTGTGTTGCCATCGAAACGTTGGAGTTTTTTGTTATTTTCTTTGAACCTCTCTACGTGACTTTACCGAAAGACCCAAAGAATATGGCTAATTATTTTAAATCCTAATTGTATTAAAATTGTGGCATCAGCATTGGATCATGATACAAACAAGTGTTAATTTAAAACACTCAGAGAAGCACCAATATCTGAGACCACCCTGTGGAACATTACATCACAGAACTACGACTTTTAAATTCCCTTTAACCACCCCTTAACCACTCTTGTCATGCATCTTGTTACAGCCCAGCTACGGCAGTGTTCATTACATAGCATTCTAACGGCAATTATTAATTCTCAATCTTTGTGTTTGGCCGGATTGAAAAAAAATGAGAAAGGAAATAAAAACAATCTCGCTGCGATCGCCGTTAATGCGCACACTCGCCGGTGACCAGGCCGAGACGATCGACGCGCTATTCACTCGATCGCCCGGTTTAATCACGGACGCTTGGTGGCCCTTGCCAGGTTTGAAGCCAGGCCCTCAGCGGGTTGGACGGGGGAGTGGGGGGGGGGGCTCGCTGTCCTGACATCGAGCTATCGTCCACCGCAGCCACCACTACCCATCGACAAAGACCAACTTTCAAAACGACTTTTTTTTAAGTGTATAGTGTTTAAAAGCATTTCAAGTAACCAACCGATGTAAACCACTTTAAGTGTACAATTTTTAACATGGATTATAAAACAAAAACGAAACCGATATCAAGGGACATTGTTACACCATGATTGCAGTTCCAAACCTGTGTGCATTAACTACATTTATAAATGAACCCATTTAACAACAAGAATAAATCTCACCTTGGCATTCAATATCCAACTTCATGGTGAAATTGAACTCAGAGGATAAATTGCACTAATGCAGTGCCTCTATAAATGACCAAAACAAATGGGCACTTAGCATTTCATTATACTTATTCCATTTATGCTTTTTTCCCCAGATGAGAGTGAGTGATCATTTATTTTATGCCCACTCCATTTAAAGGTTTATGAATGCAATTTAGTCCTAGAGTGGTAAATTGCGAGTTCAACCGAATACTAAACTTTGTGACACATAAGCAATTATGTAATGCATGGCTACATGCACTCAGATGTGTTTCACGGTCCAAAACGCATCCTGCGATGGACGTCTGAAAAAAATTACTTTGGATTAAACTAAAATTACTTTCAGATTATAGCAAATTGAGTACAGAAATCTTTTCAATACTCTAATACTCAATCAGCATTTACTTGTGCTTCAACTACCAGGGTGTGCAGAAAGACACGCCCAGTTTTGTAGGCCTCACCATTACAGTATGCAAAACAAGTTGCCTGAAATGCAGTCGTGAAATTTCACTTAAATACATAACAAAAAATATTCACCCGCGTCATTGTGGAGAATATAAAGCAACAAAAATAAATACAGCAGCCAATTCATCTCCATATATCCGTCCCTTCGCTTAACTTTTTTTTTTCATATCCCATCAGCCACATTTGAATTGCATTCGGAGAGGATTTCCATGATGAATCACATCTTCAATTTTTATTTAGTAACTCGTGCGATACCGCAGATGCACACAACTTGTCTCCGGCAACAGCGTGATGGCGGACAGGCACGGTGCGCTTGCAATGGGACACGAGCACAGTGGTCCTGTTCGAGGTTTTTTTCTCGAGGCCCGCTGGGAAAACTCGGCCCCTGAAGAGACGAAGGAGGAGGGGGGAGCGCTTGGAGGCAGCGCACGGCGGTCGCCGGGGAGTACCTGCACAATGGCGTTGAGCCCTGTGTCTGTACCCAGGCTGAAGTCGGAACCCGGCACGTTGTTGCTGATGGTGGCGGGCAGCATGCAGATGGGAATGCAAAACTCTTCGTATTTACCTCTCGCCTCTTGAAGCTGAATGGCACCTTCAAATGCCTACAGCGTGGCACATGCACACACTAATGGCTTCAGTGTGCCAAGTAATCACAGCTCTTAGCCAGATATCAACACGTTGGAGGTCATGTTTATTTTTTCATGACAAAGCGAAACTGTGATTAGCATTAATAACGTGACGTATACGTGCAGGATGAATAAAATGTATTCTACTTTATGGGACAATAGTGGTTGACATGCGTCCAGGAATCTCCACCACTGGCTTAGTTAGGCCACTCAGGAAGATGGGTAGCGTATCAAGCCACACTCGTCTGAGCAAGGAGACACTGGCTTGGATTATGTTATCGATTTGTCATTTACTACCTTGATTTTGTGCTTAAAAATGACATGACAATAACTTCTTGCCCTAAAATTATATTCGTACAGTTATTGGAACATGACACACACACACACGCGCGCGTTTAAACGCAAGGTTTTGGTCTGGCTAAGACCCGTCACTGTGCACTTAAAAAAACAATGGGCTGCGTCACCGTCACACAACTAGAAAAAGCGGAATGGAGAAGCAGGGAAATAGTACAAATGCAATCCACCATCCATCTGAAAAAAACCTTTAACTAGGATATTCCACTGCAGAAGTGAAGGGAAGACAAGTTGTCGGATCGGATAAAAAAATGATGTTTAGTAATATAATCTCTTTGGACGTAGACTCTGCGGATTTTAATTTACAGTGCGTGTTTGCCAACACAGAGAAAGTATTTGTCATGGACAAGCGATGGGTGCATTTCCCCAAACAAATGATATTGTCCAACACTTTGCCAATAACCCGCATGTTCCTTCATCCTGTAGAAGTGCCCCATCCATCCCAACCTCCTCTTCTTCACTATGTCCACAAACGAAATCCTGTTGCCGCATTCCATTCTAAACCTCTACGTTCCTTGAACTTTTCCGCCAGGGAATTCCGAGCGCTATCCGCGCAACGATGCAACTGAGTTGTTTAATATGAAGCCGCTTTTTTCGTGAAGCAATATAAACTATTGCGCTAATTTACAAGCCCATGGCAAAAAACGATGCGGGCGCTTACACTCAAATTCAGTAAAATTTTAATCGGGGTAGCAGTCGTGAAAGTTTGGTGTGCTCATTCTATTCACGAAACGCACTTAGACCTGGCTTAGTCATGATACCGTTGTACTGTATGTGTGTGATCATTCAGGTTAATAATATTACTAATGTGTCGAGTTACACTATGGGACCTGCGACTCAACTTTCACCCTCGTCAGATTACAGCTGTGCACCGCTGCAGTTTTCGTTATACATTAAATAATATTCAACATGTTGGCTTCTTTCCCCATTAGCGAGAGGATAATGAGAGTCCGCAAAGATATATTTTTTTTATATTCAATACGCCCGTGAAAAACAAATAACAGCAAAAAAAAAAAACCACAGCGTGGTGGATTGCATTTGGCAATGAAGGCGGGGAGGACATAAAAAGACCAGAGCAAGACGGGTGAGGCGCAGGAGGTGAGAAGAAGGTTCCCAGGCTGATACTCACGAGGCGAGGCTGTCGCAGGATTTGGTTTCGCAGAGCAACGGATGGCCTTGGTCTCAGGTCACTTACCGAGATTATTGTGGAACAGAACCCAGTGTCGATCGTCTTCGGCCGAATGCAATGAAACGAGTGAACGTCGGCGTTGTGCGTGCGTTTGGTTTTTTTTTGCGGCAGTGCAGCGGCCGGCGCGCAGAGCGCGCTACGCACCCGGTGATGTGCATCATCGCAACGGAACCGGAAGCAAAACTAAAATAAAATAACTTAATAGGTACCAAGGCTCCCCTAGGGCCATGCGGGAGGGGGGCGTGTGGCACAGTTTGGCATCAGCGATCGTGGAGTGCGGTCGTGTCGCTACAGTACTCTGTGGCGAGTACAAAGTCTTTAAAAACAACAACACTACGCCGCTCTAAATCAAATTAACGCCAAACCGCTTGCGCGCTTCGAGATTCAGCGGTGAGCAAGACACCCACCCTGCAACTTGCAGATGTCTCAAAACGGGAAAAGGTTAATTGGCGGTTGGAATTTGCGCTGGCTCGTATGCTTTAATGGCATCGTAGCCACATTTAAGTGCGTGCTCATTGGTCACGCTACTGCTTGCACTAATGCGCCTGCGATGCATGCCAAATAGGCGTACGTTTGTTGAACTTCTTTCGCACCGTAAGTAGCCAACCGTATTAAATGCAGGGGCGAGGGAAGGACAACAAACGAAACGCAAAAATGAGCTCGAAAGAAAAACTAAATAAATTTGGATTTAAAAGCGTATAGCTCCAGTGGCTTCCTAATATCCGGATGGCCGCAAAAGCGCATCTCAAAGTTCCGATTGCGGGGGTCCCGTCTTTGTTCAATGGTTAGCCAAACAGCCGCTGGCGAGGATGACCGGAGTTCGTGTGATGGCTTACGCTCCTCGTGGTCCATTTGCAGCGAGAGCTTCGTGTGCAGTGAGTGTGACCTTAACGAGCAGGTAAGGCCTCCACGGGCGAGGTCCAAAGGGCCGTCGGTCGCGAGCAAACCCGCGAAGCTTCCAAACGAACGGCGTGTGTGACACTCACGTCGGTGATGGTATTGAGCGCTGTGTCGGCCCCCACGCTAAAGTCGCTGCCGGGCACATTGTTAGACACGGTGGCGGGCACCACCACCATGGGAATGCAGAACGCCGGGTGCGAGTCACGCGCCTCCACCAGCTCCAGGCCGCTGAGGAAAGCCTGATGCCGCGACGGTAGGTGGCGGCAAAGGGCAGGGCGCGCACGGCCCGAGAGGCAGAGAGGTAAGCACGACAGAGCGAGAATGCAGAACAAGAGGTAGTGCAGCAGAAGGGCCTGGCGCTGACACGCAGACGCAAAAGGGCACACTTGGTGATTATTATTGTTATCGACTGTTTCGTAACGGGATGATTGTGTTTGCAGCGCTGCAACCCTCGAGAGCACGCGGCAGTTTCAGTTAATTTAGCATTCATAATTTACCATTATATGGCAAGTTGAGGTATGTTGTTAAAAAAATAATCGAATCCAAATTTTCCTCGGACAAAAGAAGAGTCATTTCCTACGCGGCAGATGGCTCCAGCGGGTGAGTGAGTCATCGGGCAAAGCCTGCGTCAGTGCGATCCCTTTCAGAGAATGGGTTAGCAACAGTGTTAGTTTGAAAGTTTCAAGAGAAAAAATTGTGCAAAAGAAGCATTAACAAGACATCTAAGAGAAGGGTTAAGAGACTGGCCTTGCTATAAAACCAAAGCACAAATTCAGAGAGGAATGCGATTAACTTATTATACTATAATATACAATTACGACTATAATTAAGCATGATGACAATCCACTCATACGATCAAAACCAATCATATTTGCAAATGGCAGTATTTTGGGAAAACTCACCTCAAACCCACCAATAATTAGCAATGCGTTGACATTGTTTTCACGGATCTTTTCAGCGATTTGATCCAAATACTTTTTTGGGAGAGTCCTGTGCACAGAAGCCAGAAAAATACTATAATCAATACAAGAGCATAATTATTTGGCCAAATCCTGTATCTAATACATTATCATATGCCTTAGGCTAAATTATCTGGAATAAACCTGATCTCATCAAATCTCAGAAGCCTGGAAAGTTCATGGATGGGTGACAACCATGCATAACAGGCATTATAGAGGCTCCTGCTTCTGCAGAGCTACTTTGTCTATAACAGAAGGCAGTGGAGAAAAATCCATCACTGTATACAATACACACGGCAACGTACCGCTTTGTTCCGAGTAAGGATCCACCCTGGCCCGTCCAGCCTCCAACATCTCTCCACTTAATTTCTTTTATCTGAAGAACAAGAAAATAGCGGAAACACTTTGTCGAAATTTTTTTTGGAAGAAAGTAGAAATTATAGTATGATTAGATTTCCATTCCAGACTGGAAATGTTTAAACTGCACCCAAACAAATCTATACGAGTTACTTGTGTTCAGATATTCCGAACTCAAATAATCTCATAAAAAAATTGTAACTGTATACGGCGAGGGTTGGTGCAGTGGCATGGTAGCTAGCAGACTTTACTAGTTCCTGAAGAAGCCGCTGCCAATACTTGGAGCGAATCGACGGACAACCCCATGCCAAACAATACGCAGTACGACCTGACAGGGAATCGCAGGGCTGTAGAGCGCAACTGCAAAGAGGGATTAGCAGAGAGTAATTTTATCACGTACATAGGGGCGGTGACTTGGCCTACTCGTAGCGCACTCGCCGCCTATTGAAAAGGTTCGCACGATTCGAATTCAGCAGCCACCGTGGTTTAAATCGTAAGCCCGTGTTAACCACAAAAGTATTGCGCGCCATCCACTTCACCGTGGACATTAAGGATCGTGCGAGGTCATTCGCAAGGGTGGGCCAATGTGTGCCTGAAAATGTACCCCGCAAAATCACTCAATTGGGATTACACACAGCATTCATCGCTGCACTACTGCTAAAACGTGGCAGGACCCTCGAGAATAAAAAAAAAAAAAACAGTCATCAGACGCCGCAAAGGTTTCTGGGTAAAGAAGTGCAATAAAACATATATATAAATACACGGCACCTCTCGGGGGTCCACAATCAAGTGGATATTTTTAGCCTGGATAAAGAGGAAGGTCAGGCAAAAGGGTGCTGATACTTTGGCCATGAAGAAAAAAACCGGACACATGTAGGATGGACAACAGGGAAATTAAAAGTGTGTTGTTCGGAAAAATGTAAGGAACCGGAAGGAGAGGAAGACCTTACACAGAATGGCTTGATGACAACATCACAAGAGATCGGTGCCAGAAAGATGTGGCCACTACTTCAGCATATTGGCACAAGACAGAGGAAAGTGGAAACAAATTAGGAAATGTGAAGTGGACACCTACGGGCTATCTGCTCATGGATCGTGATAACGATGACGATGATGATGATGATATGGCATGTCACTTTTGGAGGAACGGTTTGTTACCTGGCCCTTGGCAAAGCCCTCGAAGCCGTCGTTCACGGCCAGGATGTTGTGCCCCTCCGTGATGCCCACACGCACGGCCGAGCGCACGGCTGCGTTCATCCCAGCCGCTGGGGCTCCCACGTTGAGCACCGCGATCGTGAACTGACTCTACCCCGCACCAGCACCACAGACGCAGCAACACTCAGCAGCAGTCAAGATCAGGAGGGCACTGCCCAAGCAACGCCCACAATGTGAGCTTTCTAGTTTCCCCACTTCTGGACCAGACCAAAAGAAATACAATCCCAATTACCGGTAGCTGAAGCAGCACACCATAATGTAATGCACGCAGGGATTTTCTAAAGAAGCAATCTCACCATAACTGTTCTTGTAAGTATTTAATGTGCAGTGTCTGAACATATTGTTGTCACGTGATTGTAAACATTTAAAATTAATGTTGACGTTTACTGAATGGTTTTACTTTTTTGGGGTGACAGGATAAATATTCACGTTCATGTGTATCAGGATTTTAATCAATATTCTGCGTCAAAGATGCTTGGGCAGATTGTATAGCCCTTTAATATTAGTGGTCAATTCATTTTTACGGCAGAAAAAACGCATTTTTGAAAAAAATATCCACTACTTTTTGAAGTGTAAAAAAATAACATATATATATAAATATAACCAATAAAAAAAGAACCCAAGAAAAGTATCCCCACTAACACGCCAGCAGTGTTGACTCTCACTGGAGCATTACTATTGAGGTCATATCACATAAAAGATCATTACGAAAATAATTAAAATACGATCCTGATCAGCTTACAGGGCTGAGATTTTGGCGCTTAGCCATCGATAAATCTGGAATCACATCCAATTGGTTCCGAGCCACATTTAGGGTTTCATTTAACCCAATGTGATTGGACACCTCAACTTGCACGCTTTACCAATATGGTTTAATAGATTTACAACTTCCGGTTGTACGTCAAGACCAGTTTTGTGAATGGTGAATAATTAATATGGGATGATAACGATAACACAAAACTGGCATATATAGTCAATGGCTTATAACAGTCCATGTAATACGCATGGTAATAAGATGCTGTCGTGATTTAGTTTGTACATCCACTTTAAAGTATTTAGTTTTGGTCTGGCCCATTATAATATACAGTGAGGGAACATAGTATTTGATCCCCTGCTGATTTTGTACGTTTGCCCACTGACAAAGAAATGATCAGTCTATAATTTTAATGGTAGGTTTATTTGAACAGTGAGAGACAGAATAACAACAACAAAATCCAGAAAAACGCATGTCAAAAATGTTATCAATTGATTTGCATTTTAATGAGGGAAATAAGTATTTGACCCCTCTGCAAAACATGACTTAGTACTTGGTGGCAAAACCCTTGTTGGCAATCACAGAGGTCAGACGTTTCTTGTAGTTGGCCACCAGGTTTGCACACATCTCAGGAGGGATTTTGTCCCACTCCTCTTTGCAGATCTTCTCCAAGTCATTAATGTTTCGAGGCTGACGTTTGGCAACTCGAACCTTCAGCTCCCTCCACAAGTTTCCGATTGGATTAAGGTCTGGAGAATGGCTAGGCCACTCCAGGACCATAATGTGCTTCTTCTTGAGCCACTCCTTTGTTGCCTTGGCCGTGTGTTTTGGGTCATTGTCATGCTGGAATACCCATCCACGACCCATTTTCAATGCCCTGGCTGAGGGAAGGAGGTTCTCACCCAAGATTTGACGGTACATGGCCCCATCCATCGTCCCTTTGATGCGGTGAAGTTGTCCTGTCCTCTTAGCAGAAAAACACCCCCAAAGCATAATGTTTCCACCTCCATGTTTGACGGTGGGGATGGTGTTCTTGGGGCCATAGGCAGCATTCCTCCTCCTCCAAATACGGCGAGTTGAGTTGATGCCAAAGAGCTCCATTTTGGTCTCATCTGACCACAACACTTTCAACCAGTTGTCCTTTGAATCATTCAGATGTTCATTGGCAAACTTCATACGGGCATGTATATGTGCTTTCTTGAGCAGGGGGGCCTTGCGGGCGCTGCAGGATTTCAGTCCTTCACGGCGTAGTGTGTTACCAATTGTTTTCTTGGTGACTATGGTCCCAGCTGCCTTGAGATCATTGACAAGATCCTCCCGTGTAGTTTTGGGCTAATTCCTCACCGTTCTCATGATCATTTGAACTCCACGAGGTGAGATCTTGCATGGAGCCCCAGGCCGAGGGAGATTGACAGTTCTTTTGTGTTTCTTCCATTTGCGAATAATTGCACCAACTGTTGTCACCTTCTCACCAAGCTGCTTGGCAATGGTCTTGTAGCCCATTCCAGCCTTGTGTAGGTCTACAATCTTGTCCCTGACATCCTTGGAGAGCTCTTTGGCCTTGGCCATGGTGGAGAGTTTGGAATCTGTTTGATTGATTGCTTCTGTGGACAGGTGTCTTTTATACAGGTAACAAGCTGAGATCAGGAGCACTCCCTTTAAGTGTGCTCTTAATCTCAGCTCGTTACCTGTGTGCTCCTAATCTCAGCTCGTTACCTGTATAATAGACACCTGGGAGCCAGAAATCTTTCTGATTGAGAGGGGGTCAAATACTTATTTCCCTCATTAAAATGCAAATCAATTTATAACGTTTTTGACATGCATTTTTCTGGATTTTTTTGTTATTCTGTCTCGCACCGTTCAAATAAACCTACCGTTAAAATTATAGACTGATCATTTATTTGGAAGTGGGCAAACGTACAAAATCAGCAGGGGATCAAATACTTTTGTCCCTCACTGTAAGAGACACCGAGGTTTTAAAAACGGCAAAACCGAGCAAAGCAGAAGAAAGGCCACCCAGAGACAAATAATAAACCCATCCCTTAGATGCCACAGGAGGAAAGACCTTTCTACACATTCGTTTGCAATGAGTAAACTGTGAGTGACACAAACAAACATTTCATAAAACCATATCAAGCAAAAATGATGCTATACCTAAAGAAAAGAAGGCTATCACTTATTTTCCCTTCCATTGTATTTTACAGTCTCTAACTTATGTTCTGGAGTTGCACGGGAAATTAATTCCTTACTCGCCGGTACCCTCTTCCATTTGTTCTTCTGATTGGCAGGCTACTTTGGCAGTGGAGTCAATATAGAATGTGGCACTGCCCCAAACGAACACCATCGGTAAAAGGCAACGTCGTCTATGCAGGGATCCGTCAATTGCGAGTCTCAAAGCCAGCAGTATGACATTGAGACTCTGAGTTGCGTAGGGCCAGCACCCTCCACTGCAGCACTTTCACAGAGCTAAACAGCTCACGGATAAACAACTCTTGGAATGCAGTGCATCTCCTCACGGTGCAATCATCCAATTGCCAAACTGGGAGTCGTGAAGTTTATTCAACTGTAAATGCTCGGTATATTTTCCTTCAGCTGTGTGAGAAGATGATGGGTCATGGGTGCCAGTTAATGGCAGAGTAATGAGGATTTGGCCAATTGCACCTCAAGATACCATTCATCTTGCCTAACTCTGAAAGATTTGCAGAGAAGGAGCCATGGATACCTTGATTGATGCAGACACGTAATCATTTATAACAGTGCTATTGCCCGCATTGATTGATTTCTTTATTTATCCAGGTAAGAAACCATTGAGATCCATTATATCTATGCATGGAAGACTGAACCAATATCTAAAACTATGGTTAGGGGATGGATATGGACTAAGACAAGTCCCTAATGGCCTATATTGGCAAATTATGGTGCGCCAAGCTTTGTAACATATGTTACAGGATATTCTTTGGTTATTTCGGTAAAAATAATAAAGTATTAAAGCTTTCGTGACTGCATAAAATTACTCATTGGTTTTTTCGGTAAAGTCACGTTTGTAGAAATACAATAAAATTATATTAAAAGTCACGTAGATAGAAAAATAATAATAAATAAAGTGAAAAAATAAACAAATAAAAACACTACGGTAGACTGTAGCCTGGTTCTTATTCAGAGTGAGTGGACTGGCAATCTATAATGTAGACTGTAGCCTGGTTATTAAGTTTGGTGAGTGTACTGGTAGTATATAATGTAGACTGTAGCAATGGTTACTAAGCTGGGTGAGTGTACTGGCAGTCTATAATGTAGACTGTAGCCTGGTTCTTAACCTCGGTGAGTGTACTGGTAGTCTATAATGTAGACTGTAGCAATGGTTATTAAGCTGGGTGAGTGTACTGGTAGTCTATAATGTAGACTGTAGCAATGGTTATTAATCTGGGTGAGTGTACTGGTAGTCTACATTATAGACGGCCAGTACACTCACTCTGATTAGGAACCAGGCTACAGTCTACATTAGTGTTGTTTATATATTTTTTATTCACTTTATTTGTATTTTTATTTTTCTATCGACGTGACTTTACCGAAAGAACCAAAGAATATGAAGTCCTGCAGCCACGAAAGTTTTAAGTCAAAAAATGTTACAGGAGACTGTAAATTGCACAACGTAAACTGGGAACTCGATGCAAATGAGCTCAGTGGACAGCACACCGTCCAGAAGGCAGATAAGCCACCACCGACACTTTACAGGCAATCTTAATTTGAAGCTTTCGTGACTGCAGGAATCCATACTCTTTGGTTCTTTCGGTAAAGCCACGTAGGTAGGCAACTGCTCTTCGGCAGAGATGTGGAGATCAAAGCCGAGGGAATCCACACGATCGTACACTCTGCTAAACGCGTGGCATGAAAACGGCCATGAACAGAGATGTCTGGAGTTGTACATCTGCAGCTTGATAAAGAAGTTGACTCTCGCATACTACTCATCGAGGAAAGAGACAATGTTGCGTAACTTATCAATAGGAGGTAATTACAGCCTTCTGTATGGATTTGAAGGGATTTTATTTTTAACCTAATGATTTTTAATTGCAAATATATAAGATTGAATTTGTACCACGTTTAACACGTAGGCTTTCGCGACCAATATCATCCATAATCGAGGTTTTTGGGGTTAGATCGTGTAAATATATAAATGTGTCGTTAAAGCCCGCACACCACCCGACACAGCCAACTAGTAAGGGTTGTCACGTAAACAGAACGTGGCCAATTCGTCACTAGTACAGCACACCGATGTGTTGGAGAGCCAAGCCACAACATTTACAAACCGAGTACGACGTTTCGACAGTAATTACAACTAGCTTCATCAGTGATGCACAAATCAACAGGGCATTGAATACCAAAACCAAATAAAATAACAAGAGCATTGAAACTGCCCAAGTAATTAAAACGATCGAAATACCGTACATTGCGGGAGCAACTGATAAACTAGCCAGATGTTTGGAAAAACAAAACATCCCAATCAGATTTGGCACGGTACATAAAATACAGAAATTAATTTCTGGTACAAAAGATGTATTACCGAAGCTATCAACAGAAGGTGTGTACAGGATTAACTGCACGTGTGGTAAATGTTACGTTGGGCAAACAGGACGAATGATCAGCACGAGACTAAAAGAACATCAGAGAAATATTAAATTCTCCCAAATACAACTGTCAGCAGTAGCCTAACACGCGTGCCAACAAGGACACTCAATTTATGTTGATAATGTTGAAGTTCTGTGCAAAACTAGCTACTACTGGCCAAGACGAATTAGAGAATCTATCGAAATTTAAAGAAAAAAAAATAAGTTTAACCGTTCGAATAGCTACCATCTTAGTGCTGCGTGGAAGCGAATCATAAAATAATACATTATTAAAATGCATGCCTACAAAGGGCAGCATACTTCAATAGGGATTACCGTTGGTCGGGCTATTTTAATAAACACAATAGACAGGAAGGACAAGTTCAAAGGGCTTGCATAATGCACACGCATAATGTACGTTGCCTCGGTAACCCCGCCCCCCCCCCATCATTGTGCAAGAGCGCAGAAGTGAGGTCACCACATCTACGCCTCTATATAAGGAACGAAACATTTAGACTTCTCCACAAATCTGGCTGTCGCCTGATGAAGCTAGTTGTAATTACTGGCGAAACGTCGTACTCAGATTGTAAATGCTGTGGCTTGGCTCTCCAACACACCGGTTAGTGCTGTACTAGTGACGAATTGGCCACGTTCTGTTTACGTGACAACCCTTACTAGTTGGTTGTGTCGTGTGGTGGCGGGTTTTAACGAAACATTTATATATTTACACGATCTAACCCAAAAACCTCTATGATTGTACCACGTGTTATTGTTTGTTTGCCTCGTGGCTAACGGCTAACAGCTTTAACAGAATTGACACACGACCTTGTAAATGACATGCCAAAAGTTCACGTTGTTGGAAAGAGGTTAGTGCCTCATATTCAGTAAAGAGATCAAATACTGGCATTTCTTTAGCAGATTTTTTCTGGACAAATCCACTGCAGTTATATCCACTCACGGGAACTACAGGACAAAAGCACCATATCCCCACCGCTCCCAACTCCACCCCCGCCTGCCTCACACGTGCGCTGACTTAGCAGCCGAACTGCAGCAGAATTCCCAGTCGCGTTAAAAGAAATCATTCGCAACACAAGTTAACTGCAGTGCGGCACCAGCAGAGACACTGCCGAGATAATACTAAGTGAGCCGTGCGTTCCAGCCTGCCAAGTGCCAACATTACCCGCCACACAGTCTACTCAGGCACATGGGCACCAGCATGCGCTCAAGTCAGTTGGCGGTGTTATCGTGCGCCCCCTCGGGAAAAAAAGCTTTCGGCATAAATCTGCGCTTGGTCTGAACGCAGCACTGCCAGCGGTGCAAGCAGAGGAGAAGTCCAGTGGAGTGTATTTGGGTTATTAACTGTTTAATTACCCCGACGGTATGCTCTTCGCATTGTTAATGCTGAACAATAATGAATTGTTCCATTAAAAAAAAAAACAGGATATAAGAACGAGACAAAAAGCAGTAAGTGTACAAATTAATCACCAAGAGGTTCAATATTATTATATCAAGCAATTAACTGCAGTGTATTCTGTTTCTAACACGTAAATTTAAGGGTCATAAAAGCACGGAAAGCACATTCATGCCGAAAGCAGTTAGTGGCAGTTAGAAACCAGAGGAATAGCAAAACTCAGTCTGCCCGCTTTAACAAGAGCTTCATGAGAGTCATGGGCAAGAGGCCCTGGCACATGAGCTGCAGAATTCCCAAAGCAAAATATCCCACGGCGGAGCGCCATTTCAGTGCGTACATTTGAAGCTTGCCTCGGTCTATGAATACATCCATCCTGAAAATTTCAATTTACAGCGAAGAGAAACGAGCCGCTTTCAACAGCAAACCATTATGTCAAATTCGGGCATTTCAACATTCATGTGGAAAACTGATAGATTTAAATGAGCATTACATTTGCATTCATAATGTGGTACTTTCCAAGCAATCCAAACTCTGTCCACACCGTATTTATAAACGCACAGCGCTGCAGATTCGAACAAAAGCCACACGCAAAGAAGCGGTGTGAAATTGACGCTGAAATTGGGCATTTGTGGAAATTATGAACGTTTTTATTTTTCGATTCAGTTTTGCTCTTAAAATGAAGACCAACATTATTTGTTTTAAGGGAAGTGTTTGGAGCAAGACCTTTCAGCAATTCTTCAAAAGCACGCACATCGTTAAGCGCTAGTGCAGGCCATAAAAACGACACACAAGCCAAGGTACATACTCCATTACTGCCATCCTGTGGGAGTCCCAGGCCACAATCACAACGGGTAGGAGAAAGTAAAATGTCAAAAATCACAACAATCATAATAATAATGATCAAAGTTTTGGAAATGAACACATCATTGCAAACAATTGATTTTTTTACGTAATAAAAAATATACACTAAATCATAATATGATTCGAGTTAAGCATAACGGTGTGATTCAGACAATTAAGCAACATGAGGGTGAAAACAGAACTGTAACTAACAACTGAGAAACGACCCAGCGCAGTTTAATTGACTGACCTTTGGGTATGCAGAATCGACCTTTTTATTGGCCAGAAGTTTGTAAGTGTTCAAGTTATTTTCAAAACTCCTGCGGGCAGTTGTCAGAAAAAAATGCGGAACACGTCATTGCATTCAACAGACGATTCCAGGCAGTGCGTGTCGTTAGCCAGCATCAGTAAAAATCTCAACACAGGCGAGAGGAAGTTGCACAAGCAAACGGCAGGCTGATGCAGAAGCTGCTCGCTTACCGTCCGCGGAGTTTTACCGCATCCGCAAACCGCCGCTCATCCATGGCCTTCTGAACCTCCTGCGTCTGAGGAGCACAAAGACGTTCCTGCGCTTTATTGTCTGCTGCACAATTGTCCCAAGCTGGGCTCCTAACAGAGTCATCGATTTACTCAACCGACTATCGGTTCCGTTACACGGTTAATCGCACAACAAGAAACTACATAATTTACTGTTTAAATTTGATCGGATAAGGCCCACCGAGATAACTACCTCGCCTAGTATAAGGAGGACATGGGTTCGATCCTGACCCTGACGATGCCTGTATATTTGGAGTTTGCGTGTCTCTCCCCAGGGGCGGATGGATTCTTCTCCAGGTCCTCTGGTTCTTCACTCCACATTCAGAAGCTTGCGTTTAGATTATCTGACTGCTATGAATTTCCACATGAGCCAATAGCACAGTAGGCTTTACCTGGTAGGTCAAAAAAAATATATTAATACATGTATTTTGAAATATAGTAATGGAGGGAGTGAGGGTGGTGGTTAATCAAGTCTGCCAGTTATCTGAGAGTTATACTTATGGTTCACCAAATTTACCAAGTACATAAAACAACGATATAAGCAATAACACACTCCTTTTGCAGAGGTACTCACCGGTATTCTCTTCTAAGTTGATCATAGAGAAATAAGGGGGCCCGTTTAAATCACGATGACGAACGTTTGCAATTGAGGCTCCGCTAGCGCCACGACTATCCAGCGTCCTAGAAGCGCAAGCCCAAGATGCCGGATGGCCGTCGGAATTTTTGTCCGGATACGTCAAGGAAGATTTCTATTGCCGTGCATGGCAGACGCCTGCTTAACAGAGCACTCCGGATGGCACAGTGCCGGATTAACAGAGCTTTTGCCGTACACAAGGTACTTAAACAAAGACTTCTGCATCCATATTATATCATTCTCATTTGCTTCCAGTGGAGGCACCGCCCACCCCCCCCTCCCCCGCTCACCAGTTGCACACACTCCATGAGCGGCAGGCGGATGGACTGGTTGCCCGACAAGGACACGACACAGGCAGGGGTCTCCGGGGTAGCCTCCAGCAGGGCCAGCACCGCCTCTACTCCCATGCGACTTGCCTGCACCCACACACACACGCACGCACATTCATGCCTTAGCCCTGTCCGTTCAGCCACCAGGGGGGAGCAGGGGGAGGGGGGGGGGGTGGGGAGAATACACTTTCTAAATGTCATAAAAATAATCCAATATGAATGAAACTATGGTGTAAAGTTGTGTTGCTATTCGGCACAAAGATAAAGATCACCCATATTGCCTTAAGCGGCAGTTGGGGCAAGTGCTGTTCACGAGCACCTTTGAAGGCCGGTACGGCACACGAGCAGGTGGGTGACCAGCACCACGCCCAGCCGCCTTTCGTCTCCAAAGCGGCGATGTTTACACAACACACCAGGTACTCATTTGCGGCTGAGTCGACCTAGTGGAGGCCCAGAACCGATTCAGATCGTCACTGGTGTTGGCCGTGAGCAGGACGAGCTTAGGTCGCGGGGTTCGTGGTGCAGCGTGTGCTAACCGTTGCGCTACCGCTCCTCACGCACACACACCGGCACACACCGGCACACACCGGCACACACCGGCACACACAAGCACACTGTGCCTACCAGGATGCGGTCGAAGGCAGACGGGGTGCCACCCCTCTGCACGTGCCCCAGGATGGTGACTCGAGTGTCCAGCCCCAAGGACTTGGTCACCAGCTTGTGATGCGATGCCACACACGCTCAGTGTTATCAGAATTGCATTTAACACAGGTGGTTAGGACAACAAGAGTTTTGCACAGCAATTTTACCTTTTTATCGTTTTGCGTACTGCAAGCAATTGCAGAAAGTAACAGCGTCATCATTTACGCAGATCCAATGACATGTTAAGAACATTCAAAGATTTTAAATTGCCAAAAGTAACAAGTCAAGGAAGCCAAAGCACCCACAAGTCAAGCAAAGCAGGGTGAAAACACAAACAATAAAATATATGAACCCATATACAAGTATACTCAACATTTCAGCATAGAAATCAGAGGTGCATAATTAATGTTTAAAGACTATAGGACATAAATGCCCATTGGCACTCTAACAGTGCTTCACCGATTATTGCCATCTTTGAATGCATTTTCTTAAATAATGTACAGGATAAATATCACTGCAACATTGAAGCATGGTAATGAAAATGGGAAAGACAAAATATGACTATTTTTAAATGTGTATGATGACAGCATTTAATATGGTTTTGCTTTTTCAGTGTTCAATTAAAGAGCATTCATAACTATCAAGGTGTTTATTTCATTGGGTAAATATAGAGGGGACAATTTCAATTATGAAGGGTACTACAAATCAAACAGAGGGGCAGGTTATACTTTAAAAAAACAAGACTTACTTTGAAGTGTCACAGCACAAATGTTTTAGCACAGATTTGTGCGTACAGCAATATAACTGTGATGGAATTATAAATGTACTCTTTTTATTAGATGTCATGGTAATAACTTCCATATGACACAATTTAATTTCCAGACTTGAAATGGGTCTTAGTTAATAATGGGAAGCCCAAATAAATTGGTAAGGATTTTGATTTAAAGCTTTCGTGACTGCAGGGATTCATATTCTTGGTTCTTTCGGTAAAGTCACGTAGAAGGGAAACAATAAAATAATAAAAATATAAAACAATATTTTTATAATAAAAATATAAAACAATATTATTATTTTATTGTTTCCCTTATACGTGACTTTACCGAAAGAACCAACAATATGGTAAGAATTTGTGAAGTAATGCTTTAAAATATTAATTTATCAGGGAATTTTCTTGAAAATTAACTGAAGTTTAAACTGAAAAAGGAGAACTCTGCTCTCATCCAATCACTGTAAAGCATTGGCAAGTAAAGAGCACTTCTATGTCTCACTGCATACCACTTTGTCAAAACACACGTTTGATAATTAATGATATGCTGCAACGGCAATTAGAAAAATAACAACATAGTCGTTGAACTGTCCAAACAACTATCGTGCATTCGTCTGGTAGAGATTCGTTAACAGCATAAACTGCTAGAGCAATTATAGGACAAATGTAAGGGTCAAATGTAAATGTAATGACGTACTTGGGGTTAACAGAAGATGGAAGAAATTAACATTTAAACAAATAACTATTGTACATATAGTGTTGCTCAGCGCTTCCAGGATTTACCAAGAAGTTTTTTTTAAAGTAACTATTCGTGACATTCTATTTAACTTGTAAAAAAAAAACATAACTGCAGGAATAGATTCTTTGACATTGTGAACATCGTGAGATGCCATTCTAACAATAAATAAATAAATACGATAACTACTTGTTTGAGATCTGCTTTTCGTGTTTAGTTTGTTGAGCTTCCCCGGCACCTCCGATGAGCAAGGGTGGCTACATACGGTGCGAAAGAAGTTCAACATACATACATGTGCTATATATAGGGGTGCCACGGTGGTCAAATATTAACTACCTCGCCTGGTATACAGGAGGCCGTGGGTTTGATAAGCCACGTCGGTGTTCGGCGAGCGAACATCGACCAACGGTCTCGCGGCCTCCAGAGGTACAACTCAAGCTACTCGCTGTACCCCAACATGAGCAAGTATTCACATTTATTACTTTTGCCACATCTAAATTATGATCAGGAGTGCATCCATTCGAGCTACGTCTTTCAACTGCATTACTTTGCAAAGCCGTTCTATTAAAATGTTCATATTGTATAATTACATTACATTGTGGACAATACCCTAATGTAAAACAGCATCGTAAGTGTATTACATTTCTCATATTAAGGACGGTTCTATCTCAGTGTAAATTTTAACAGGAACACCTTTCCAGTACTTATCTAGATTGATGCCACATTTTATAAATGAACAACTGATGTAAAGTCCAATTGTCCTGTGGAAATACTTGAATCTGCCATGGGAATTATGGAAGTTCTATTCTTGGCTCCGGACTGCCAGTAGCACTGAGCACCGCTCAACACTTGTCCCACCGTGTAGCCCCTTTGCCATCTCACTGTTTTTCAAATATTTCTACACTGTAATTGCATTAATGCAATAAGGTTTAGTTTTAGATAAAGACTAAAAATAGAAGACGCAGTATGTAATGGAAATGTTTCGCAGCTTACACAACGCCCCTTCTGGCGCACAATGAAGTCTGTCATTTTCGTATCGTGGTAAAACGCTAATCGAGCATTCCTACCGTAACCTCCATTGACAGTGCTTCGCAATGCAACGTACTACCTAAAAACATTGTAATCTGAACAAAGTCAATAGGTTTTTGATTTAATTGGCCAGTGTTGCATCCTTACGGCTGCAATTTGACGATTTCGCACGGTGGCACCTCACTCGCTCCCCTCTCTGCTGCCCCCATCGTCTGGAACTCCCCTGGCCCCAGCCGTCTGTGCCCTCGAACCCCCTGCCACTGTTCAAGTCCAGTCTCAAGACCTTCCCTTTTGCCTCTGCCTATGAACGACTGCCCCGATAAAATAAGAAAGCTCACTGTACGACACAGTGCCCTGACGCGCGCTTTCACTTCGAAGCTATGGAATAAACAATACAGAGAAACAAAAAAGCGACGAGTCTTTTCAAGTACCAGTCAAAAGAAAAATCGTGATGATGTCAAAGTGAGCGCATGTTTTTCCTACCAAAGCTGACAAAGCTCATGTTTGAAACATGTTTTGTCTCATCTTCATTAGAAGAAATTCGGTACTGCGGGCAGCATAAAATAAATCAGTGGGATAGCGAGCGGAGCGATGGGGGAAGCGAATTACGTGTGCTCTTTGAAGCGGAAAGCCACAGCAAGCAGGCACGGGGTCAGCAGCGCATGCTGTACTCACATCTTTAATTTTTTGCGAGCTTATTGGTTTGTTGAAAGAATCAATGGCACCCTCCGACACAATCATTACATTAAGTCTTTTCTTGCGCAGACGATTCTGAAAATCCGAACAGAACAAAAAACAGAAAGGGGAAAAAAAAGACGAGGAAGGAAACGAAGCCAACACGGTGGTGGTGATCATCAAGAGGAAAATCAGAGGCTCGGCGAGGCCCGCCACTGTCTTTCATTCCCAGCAGCGCTTGCACGTTGTGTTCATACTCCACGAATAAAACGTTAACTTGAGGCGACGAAGGAATCGCGCGAACTTACCAAAATGACAAGTGAAAGCGTCTGAAATTACATCTCGCGTCGTAATTGGGCCTCCCTTGCACCTATTTTATTTCACTTAAAGCGCTCCCCCCCCCCCCTCCACCCCCCCCCCCCCAAAGACGCATTATTGATGCGACGCACGCACTGCAAAGATTTACTCTTGCCATCGCATTTTAGCAAACTGACGCACGGTCGTAGTTAGAAGCTTTATCAATCCAAATTGTGCGTTTCTTTCAGGTGCACACAGGCATGTGATAGAATGCATTGTGCGAGCTGCCTCGTCTGCCAATTAAAGCTGCAATTAGCATTTCAGCTGTCTCACGTGCTGGCGCGCTGGCAGTGAATTCAGTGAGCTTCTGGAGAGAAGAAAGATATGCCCACAAAATCCGCAAACACACAAGTGCCTTCTCTATATACTTACCGCCTTAATAGCATCGCTGGTAATGGGCTTCCCAGTCGTATCAATGGCACCTTCTGACACTATGATTATGTTCAATCTGGATCCCCTGGCTCGGTTCTACACGTAATACAAATGGCAAATACTTCGAGAAACATGAACAGAAACATCGCGAGTGTCATCAACAATATTAATTCGATTTCAAAGAGCTAAAACACACAGTATTATAAATCAAGCATTTGTTCTTTAAAATGTTTTACAGACATGGCTTAACGTTTGTAACGGAAATCTCTTCTGTACCAGATAATTAAATCATTTTTTGCAAGTCCACCTGGCTTCACACACACACACACGTCATCGGTTGTCTCTTGATATGCTTTTAACCCATAGCAGACGAGAGGTCAGCATGTATGTTGAACTTCTTTCACACTGTACGTAGCCAACCATGCTAATCGGAGGTGCGAGAATTGTAACTCTCAGCCCATCTTGTTTTATACCAGACATATGCATGTAGCAAGCACTGCCTTGGTTAATTTCTCAGGTCTACATATTGCATTTATTATCATTATTTATTATGCTTGTTTACACTAGAAAGCATCTGGTCAAATTCCCTCAGTAACGGCGGACTGATCTGTCGCTGGATAATCCGTCCCGATTACATTTTCTCCTACAGATTGGTGCCACTTTGGGGAAAAAAGTACCAAAATGTAATTTGGTGTAAATAAAACATTCAACGTTTATAATAGCTATTAATATCTTCTCTTGAAAAGAAGTTTCACGATTTTTATTTTTTCCATTCTGCTTGAAGCAGGGATATGTTTGTGTGTGTGCACAAGCCACCCGCGCGTTTTAAGATGCGCTTCTGCGGCCGTCTGGAATGCTCTTCCTTCCCATATTAGGAAGCCACTGGACCTATGGCACTTTTAAATGTAGATTGAAAACTGATTTCTTCAGAACTACTTTTTGTGTTTGGTTTGTTGTCCTTCCCCCCCACCTCCGATTAGTGCGGTTGGCTACGTACGGTGCGAAAGAAGTTCAACATACATTATACACCCACTCGGTGGACTGAGAGTTCTGGGCGCATGGCCTTATAAGATACAGCAGAGGCGAGTTCATGGCTACCCAACTCCAGCCAATAACCAGCAGCTTGTCAGCAATATTTGAGGACATAAGTGTGTGAAGCCAGGATGAATTACAAAAGTAAACGTCTCCAAATAAACAGCAACATTATTTCAACAAGTACGAAAAAAACTGACAAAAATATTTACACTTTAATTAAAAAAAATTAGGGTTAAAAATTAAATACTGACATACGTGTTGAAAAATTACATTTTCTAAAAGCTTTAAATGAGAAATATAAAAATAAGGATCGGCTTATAAGCAAACAATTCTGGGGGCAAACGTGCACCTTGCTGCACGCTAAGAAGACACGAGTTGCAGCTACACTGTCACCTGGGATTGAGGGCACGTGGACTAGGCACAAGTCGCAGGTACATCAATGTTTCTATATGCGGAGAAGTTTTCTAACAATGGCGAGTGGCATGAGATTCAAACCTGCATTGCGGTAAAATAAGATGGTACGACAGAACTGGAAGATTCCATCAGGTTAAAGCAAGAACTCGCTAAATCTGTCTCTAAATCCAATTTGAACAATATGCAATGTCGTGGGAATAGCAAAAAAAAATCGGTGGCAAAATGGTAACTACCTCACCTGATATACATAAGTTCGCCGATTCGATCCCATCCCTAATCCCTGTATATTTGGAGTTTTCATGTTCTCCCCGTGGTCACGTGGATTTTTATCCAGGTCCTCAAGTTTTTCCCTCCACATTTAGAAACATGCGTTGAGAGTATTTGGCTACTAGAAATTCCAAATAATATGCCAATTAGTTGAGCTATTGTTTGTGGCCATGTCCATTCTATACAACTCAGTGGGCCTTACCTGCTAACGCACGTGTATCTTAACCTTTTTCCGTTCCGATGACGTACGTGTACGTATGTGTACATCATAAGTTATTCTTTTGATTCCGTTCCGATGATGTACACCTATATCCGAGGATGTACATCATCGCAACGGAACCGGAATAAAAACTAAATAAAAATAATTGTATCAGTACCAAGGCTCCCTTAGGGCAATGCGGGAGGGCATGTGGCACAGTTTGGCATCAGCTATCATAGAGTGCGGTCGTGTCACTACAGTTCTCTGCGGCGAAAACAATGTCTTTAAAAATAACGGGGCTACGCCTCTCCAAATAAAATTAACGCCAAACCGCGTGCGCATTCCCGGGATTCAGCGGTGAACAAGACACCCACCCTGCAACTTGCCGACGTCTCAGAACGGGAAAGGGTTCGTTGGCGGTTGGAATTCGCTCCGTCACGTATGCTTAAACGGCAGCGTCGTCACGTTTAACAGGATAGCACAGGACACTTCGGACGAGGTGTACAGAACGCAGGCTTAGGAGCGAGCAGGCGGGGATACCTCGGTGAGCTTCGTGCACATCTTCTCTTCCCAGCCCTCCTCCGGGGGACTCTCCGGGATGAACACCCAGTCAGCGCCGCACGCCAGGGCACTCACCAACGCAAGGTAGCTGGTCACACAGGCGTTGCACCACGTGGTAGCCGGTTTAATTTACTCAGCTTTAGTTTTTTTGGTCACAGTCTCTGCATATAACACTCAAGATGGGGGCGACGCTCAGAGCGAAAAAGCAGACGGATCGTTGTTGTTGTTGTACTGCCATCTCGTGGCAACTTCAGAACTGAGCTTGCAAACAAACGTCTTGCGTCAAATGCAAGAGGAAATAAACTGAGATTTCAAATAAATATCTGTAGTGTGGTTTTGCTTATTTCATGCATGAAAATTGTTTAGAATAAAATGTTTGTTTTCCCCTGATGTGCCAGATTCCATCTCTTACGTGTCCTCAATCAGTGAAGTCTCGCCAAAAAAAATAAAGTGGCAAAAAGTGTAGCCACCATCCCCATCTAGTGGTGGATCAGAGCCCTGTTAAATTACTTCAGAAGCAGTCCTGTAACATCTTGTTCTCCGACAAGATATGATGCAATTCTCTCTCTCTCAGAGCGTGGTGAATTGAAAGGTCTTCGTCTCGACAGCTGGTGCCCATAGCACACTTGATTTATAATTTTAATATTTTAAAGTTAACATTTTACGTAAGTTATCCTAAGCAAACACAAGATCATATTCGTCGTTTTCTACATCACGTAGCAAGTCCAACTGAACAACCAGCTTAGGCTCCAATCCAGCTAATAACTGTGCTACAACTAATGAGAACGGTAAGATTTGTTCCATGGGATGAACGTCAATGGAAACTTTGCGTGCCGTTTTGGCAGACGCAGTATCGCATATTTTGTGCGCGTAGCCGTTTCTAATTTAAGAGCGCAATATCACTAAACTCAACGCCGCTACAAAACACTGCGCCAGGTGAACAGTTTTGTAGGGCAAGGAGATCACTCTTTCCATTGCACAGCAGGATTAACCTCGGAAAACTGAAGGAATTAGGGAGGATTTAGCCAAGGATCCGTCACAGTGAATGTTCTTAACAATGACATCCACGACGGATTATAGATATATGCAGTAGTCCCTCGGTTAACGGTGACATTGGTTCAACGGTGTTTTCAGGTTAAAGTTTCGCCTCCCATAGAACCCCACGGTTTCCACTAACGCTAAATTTCTGCTTAACGGCGTGCTTACGTTATGCACGCGGGGGTGCCAATTTCAGCCAATCTGAGCCCTCGTAAGTGGGGCTCAGCCATGTCCTCAGCCAATCAGCGATGCCCATTTATGAGCATTTACACCTCGACTGGCTTTGTTTACTCGTTGTGTTTTTTCGGTAAAGTCACGTATGTAGAAATACAATAAAATTAAATTAAAATAAATCACGACGTTTCGACCGCAACACAAGCGATTTTCATCAGGCGTAAAAAAACAAATAGCGAGGGAGCACACGGGGTGACATCAACGCAACACATAGAGAGCGTTAAACTTACATGGAGGTGAATGCAACAAGAAGACGAGAGACGAGAATTCAACAAACCTAAGAAAAATTTACGTGATGCGAAACCAGTCGGCCAACAACACAGTTAGACACTTGCCCGGCGGACCACGAATTTCAGAAGACTGCTAAATTTCGTGTTCATCCTCTGCGTTGAACACACCAGCATAGACAGAGTGAACAAATACGAGGTACAAGGTAGCAGAAATACTTTATACAGAGACACCAAGAGGCAAGAAGAGGCAAGACGGACAGAGAAGCAAGAAAAAGGGCCGGAGGGATGAACAGACAGAGGCTGTGAAGAAATCAAGGGGCGCAAGAGAGCGGGCGGAAACAGACGGATGTATAGAGACAAACACAAAACCACGGTAAACAATAAAGCATAAAACGAAGCACATTAAACAAAAAAACAAAAGACGAAGCACACTGAGGCACTTCGAAGAACAGACAACACAGGGCAATAAGTTTAGGACAGAATTTTAAAAAGGTAACTTCCCCGTAGAAGTGTGATAATAAAGAATTAAAGCTTTCGTGACTGCATAAATTACTCATTGTTTTTTTTCGGTAAAGTCACGTATGTAGAAATACAATAAGATTACGTTAAAATAATCACGACGTTTCGACCGAAAACACAAGCGATCTTCATCAGGTGTAATTAAGCCTCTGTCTGTTCATCCCTCCAACCCTTTTTCTTGCTTCTTTGTCCGTCTTGCCTCTTCTTGCCTCTTGGTGTCTCTGTATAAAGTATTTCTGCTACCTTGTACCTCGTATTTGTTCACTCTGTCTATGCTGGTGTGTTCAACGCAGAGGATGAACGCGAAATTTAGCACTCTTCTGAAATTCGTGGTCCGCCGGGCAAGTGTCTAACTGTGTTGTTGGCCGACTGGTTTCGCATCACGTAAATTTTTTCTTAGGTTTGTTGAATTCTCGTCTCTCATCTTCTTGTTGTATTTACCTCCGTGTAAGTTTAACGCTCTCTATGTGTTGCGTTGATGTCACCCTACGTGATCCCTCGCTATTTGTTTTTTACGCCTGATGAAGAACGCTTGTGTTTCGGTCGAAACGTCGTGATTTATTTTAATATAATTTTATTGCATTTCTACATAGGTGACTTTACCGAAAAAAAACAATGAGTAATTTACGCAGTCACGAAAGCTTTAATTCTTTGGCTTTGTTTACATTACGTTTTCTGTTTTGGCGGTGGAAAACAGCTCTCCTGCAGGCTCAGCGATTTTTACTTATTTTTTAACTTAAAAGTGAATTCGATTAACAGTTATTTCGGTTCACGGTAGTTTTCCCGGAGCGGATTAAGCACGTTAACCGAGGGGCTACCGTGTATATAGGCTGTTGTTAAGAATATTCCAGGGGGGCAGGAGAGGTGCCGGTTTGTAAAGACAAACCGGGTGTGGAGGGGAGGCGGAGCACGGGAGAGGGGCTGCGTGCAGAGCCAAATGTCACGTACGGATCTCTTATTATTTTCATTGAACAAATGTCACGTAGATTTTTTTTTTCCTCGCAACAATTTAATCATTGAAACGTTTTGCTTATTATAATGTTTTTGAAAGGCAGTTAAATATATGTTAGCGTGCCATTTTATTGAGGGACTACTGTGTTATCTTGGTGTGTTTGTTGTTGTTTCAGGCTGCCGCGCCCAACAGTGAAAAATAGAACTTCGTTCTCTCGTTTCTCAGTCCGCTTGCCCTGGCGAGGGTCGCGGCCGCAGCGTGCTGAATAGTGGCGGTCCACACCTCCCTTTCCCTGGCGACAGACTCTATCTTTTCCTGGGGAATTCCCAGGAGTTTCCAAGCCAGTTGAGCGACATAGTCCCACCAGCGTATCCTGGGCCGGCCCCGGACTTATATAATTAAAATAGTTACTACTTATTTATATTTCACGACTTGCTTACTATTTTCTCTATTTTGCACTCCTATCATGTTTTCATCGTTTCCTGTTGTGACTTGCCGACCCGCCCACACTGGACATCTGTGAAAAGGAGCTCCATAGGCCATCGGATTCCTCCAGTCTAAATAAAGATTCTGATTCTGCTATTTTGAGGAACCTAAAGCTTCACAAAGTCATTTGTCTTGGCGAGGCATATTAGATGTAGCATAACGCGATAGTTGAAAGTGGCGAAGTGATATGTTGGGTAAAGCTGTGAGGCCTTCAACCCCACTCCAGCTTGGATCGTTACCAACAAGACAATCTCTCAAAAATGCTCTAGAGGAGTCGTACAACCATAGCTGCCACTGCTATCCGGTGGCCTGAAATAAAAAATATAGTTATAGTTGAACGATGTATGAAGTTATTATGTACTCTGATTATAGTTGTGCTGCTACTGCTCTTGTTAATCTGGCTATTATGGATTGACTCATGCAGCTAGGGAAGGATGCTAGGTTTAGTGATGTGTGTTGTGTGTGTTGGGAAAACTGTTATGTTGTTTATATAGCATTGTTTTAGTAAGTTTTAGAGGTGCTTGGTTTGGCCCAATTTTTTATTTAGTATAGATTTATACTTAAAATGTTGATCTTCATTGTATTATGGTTGTTATTGGGATCAAACATCGAAATGGAATTTTTTGCACTTTTTGTACGCAGCATGGACGGGTTGTGCTTTTCTGTAGGATTTGATTGTTTACGTATGTGATGTTTAGATTTGTGTACAATGAATTTTAGGTGTATCTTGTAATTTTATTGTTTGTTGCGGTTGAACCCAAATCAAGAGCTGAATGGCTCACAGGGTAAATCCTAATAAATGAAACTGAAAATGAAACACTCACAGCCTTTTGACTTCAACACAGCCAACATTCTTGGGAGAGTGGTGGCAATTGCCTGGAGTTAACTTCATAGGTAGGGTTGGTGGATCATTAACACATCACAATTTAAAAAATTGCAAGCCCATGAGGTGGTAGCTGAGAGCAATGTAAGCCTCTGACCTATCCGTACGGATTTTGGGAGAGTTATTCCCTTAAATTCATGGGTTATCTGTAGGTGCTCAGATGTCCTCCCCCATGGATAACCACCCATCAGACATTGGCGATCATCCCAAACAAGATACCAATGTAAAGGAATCCTGGGATGCAGTGGGACTTTCCACGATGAAGGGCATTATAAGAAATGTATCAACGTCAGACAGTGGCAGCCAGAGGAGGGATTAAACCCAAGTTGACGCGCAACGTGGAGATGGAGTGATACAATCAGCTCGTGTACGGATTAATTGTTTTATACGTTGATAATTTCACTTACCGTTGTCTACATTATTGTATACTCAAAAAAATACGGAATTTTATTTTCGTCAAGGTAAAGGTATTCACATATTAAAATAAGGTAACATGGTCACACAAAATGCGTTACTTACCCGCAATGCCGTCCCATAACTTCCAAAACAAATGTCCTCTGATGGCTAGGTTGAGAAAAAACAAACAACACAGCCAAGCATTAATATCACCAAAGCAAGAGAGTGTAAATCGGCCACATATGTTAACACCGACTGCCACGTGCAATTAAAGAACCACCGTTTCCACATAACTAAACTAAGACAGCAATATTGCTTAAATGTCTCCCCTTGCAGTTAACATTCCCATGTGTGTGCCGAGTAACATAACCCGACGGGATGAGGGAGCGCCATGGTGGACAAATCTAAACTACCTGGCCTGGTATTCAGGAGGTCGTGGGTTTGATCTCAACCATGACACCTGGACATTTGGAGTTTGCATGTCCCTCTTCCCGTGGTCGCGTGGATTTTTATCCAGGTCCTCCGGTTTTTCCCTCCACATTTAGTAACATGCGTTTAGAGTATTTGGCTGCTGTAAATTCCACGTGACAAGCCACTTCGTTGACCTACAATGTGTGGCCAGGTCGCCTGTGAAAAAGAGCTAGTGGGCCTTACCTGGTAAAATAAAAAATATATAGTTTCTAGTTTTCCACTTAGTCCCATGTAGATATAAACTAATTTTATTTTTACTCAGTCCTTGGACAATTTATTTTCAATGTTGCAGATTATAGCCTGTAAAGTGGCACTACGCCATTTACTTTTACATAAAGAGTATTTGTATTGCCATGTTAAGGTAGGTGGAAGGGTAGCTTGGCGATCAATCAGTCTAATATCAAAGAGTCGCACGCAAGCATCGCTATATATAAATTTGCACAGTGGAATTCTATCTATCAATGGTAATTACTGTTGGGCTGATAAGTGAAAGCTCCACATAATGAGATGATAATTATTAACAGTGCTATAAATCACTGGTTTATATCCTTATGGCTTAATGCTGGAGCATACATTTGAATTTATCTTTAACTCGAGTGGATCAAGAGCATTATTGTTAGCTGGGTAAATCTAGGTGATGTTCACTTGAATCCAAAACGTATACGATTCCCAGAGAGCCTAAGCTATACTGAGACTGCATAAAATAACAAAAACTACAAAATCAGAACATCCAAGAATGCAACATCTCTTTTAGAGTATTCACATGTCAGATTTTGGAAAAATAAACTACTTGCTTTAGCCGATGTTGCACGTACGTATGTAATGTTGAACTTCTTTCGCACCGTACGTAGCCAATCGTGCTAATCGGAGGTGCGGGTGAAGGCCAACAAACTGAACGTAAAGAACAAAAGCGCTTCTAAAAAAAATTTAGTTTTCAATCGAGCTGATTTAAAAGCGCACATCTCCAGCGGCTTCCAGATATCGGAAAGGAAGAGCGTTCCAGACGGACGCGAGAAGCGCGAGCCAATGGACGCGTGCACGCACGAGAGCGCATTGCGCAATACCTCTGAGCCGTGGTCATGATGGCATCCACAACCTCGATGATGCGGTGCAGCGCCGAGTCGGTGCCGATGGTCATGTCTGTGCCACAGAAGTCGTTGTCGATGGAGCCCACCATGCCCACGATGTTGAGATGCGAATACCTTTCGGCGACATCGTTCGAGATCTTGCCTGCGACAATAAGAACAATAAACATTAACAGCGAGCACACTTTCTAATCGTGTTATTCTTGATTGGGAAAAAATAATTTCTTTAGAACTGCTTTTTCGGGTTTAGTTCGCTGTCATTCCCCCCCCCGCCCCCCGCCGCACCTCCAATTAGCACGGTTGGCTATGTACGGTTTGAAATAAGTTTAACATACATTCTAACAGCACAACAGACCATCACTAAGGTGCTATGTTTCACAGACGGGTATAGAGTCTGCCTGTAGGGGGTGATGCCGGCACACATGGCCTACAGTTTTTTTTTTATGTCACGGGATCTTTAATATCCACCGTAGAGCTGACGGCGAATATTTTGTGGTGAATACACCCACAGTATTAACGAGGGCACCCACTGGGCTCGAGAACCACAATCCTCTGCAATAAGAAAAAGAAAATTCTGAGAGCAACGAGATAAGTTCACGTGGAGGAACAAGATGGATGGTAGCAGCACAGACGACCGAACACTGCCGATGGCGTGTGGAGGCCTTCATCCAGCAGTGGACAGACGACGGCTGATGGTGGTGATGATGATAATGAACGGACTGGTGAGAGGATGAGGAGGCTCACCCTGCTTGATGAGCTCCTGCAACAGGCCGCTCCACTCCTCGCGGAAGATGTTGGCGCCCGTCAGGCTGCCGTCGCCGCCGATCACGCACAGGTTGGAGATTCCACGCTGCACGAGGTGGAACGCCGCCGCGAGCCGGCCCTCACGTGTGCGGAACTCCTTGCAGCGCGCGCTGCCAATCACGGTGCCACCCTGCGTCCACACACACACGGAATCCTCGCTCAATATTCACTCAGCACGGTGCCACCCTGCGTCCACACACACACGGAATCCTCACTCAATATTCACTCGGCACGGTGCCACCCTGCGTCCACACACACATACACGGAAGCCTCGCTCAATATTCACTCAGCACGGTGCCACCCTGTGTCCACACACACACACACGGAATCCTCGCTCAATATTCACTTAGCACGGTGCCACCCTGCGTCCACACACACACACGGAAGCCTCGCTCAATATTCACTCAGCACGGTGCCACCCTGTGTCCACACACACACACACGGAATCCTCGCTCAATATTCACTTAGCACGGTGCCACCCTGCGTCCACACACACACACACACACGGAAGCCTCGCTCAATATTCACTCAGCACGGTGCCACCCTGCGTCCACACACACATACACGGAAGCCTCGCTCAATATTCACTCAGCACGGTGCCACCCTGTGTCCACACACACACACACGGAATCCTCGCTCAATATTCACTCAGCACGGTGCCACCCTGCGTCCACACACACACGGAATCCTCACTCAATATTCACTCAGCACGGTGCCACCCTGCGTCCACACACACATACACGGAAGCCTCGCTCAATATTCACTCAGCACGGTGCCACCCTGTGTCCACACACACACACACGGAATCCTCGCTCAATATTCACTTAGCACGGTGCCACCCTGCGTTCACACACACACAGAAGCCTCGCTCAATATTCACTCAGCACGGTGCCACCCTGCGTCCACACACACACAGAAGCCTCGCTCAATATTCACTCAGCACGGTGCCACCCTGCGTCCACACACACACAGAAGCCTCGCTCAATATTCACTCAGCACGGTGCCACCCTGCGTCCACACACACACACACACGGAATCCTCGCTCAATATTCACTCAGCACGGTGCCACCCTGCGTCCACACACACACACACGGAATCCTCGCTTAATATTCACTCAGCACGGTGCCACCCTGCGTCCACACACACGGGACGTGGCATAGTTCTCACTTTAGGTTGAGTTGAGCTTCAAGAGTTCCAAACCAGATACCAATCATCACTAGAGTGCAGGAATTTAACCCAGGTCAATGGGATTGTGACATTGCATGCCGACTACTCAGCCATCTGTTCCCATGTACGGCAAGTCCTCACTTAACACGTGGCATTCACCATGTTTCTATTAATATTATGCATTTGTTATATTGTCAGTATCTTTATGTATTAATACCCATTGTTTAAATATTCTAAAGTACGTTTTTTTTCCGACGCTATTGGAACGAATTAAGCCTTTAACATGTATTTCCTATACTTGCTTAACGACCAAATCACTCAACGACCAATTACCATTGTTAAGTAGGGGTTCTAATGTATACCGTTCGTATGTGGGAGGATATTATGGTTACCAAAAAAGCTCCAGGCATAATTACAATAAACCAACACTCTACTAAACGATTTTTATTTTGCCAGTTAAAGCCTACCGAGCTATTGATCTCTTTTTCAGAAGCAACCTGGCCACAAAGCTGAACAAAGTGGGCTTATCATGTGGAAATTTATCGCAGCCAAAAACTCTAAACGCATGTTGACCCGAAAGAAAAATCCATGCGACTATGAAGAGAGCGTGCAAAATTCCAAATATACAGGCATCAGGGTCGGGATCGAGCCCATACGACCTCCTGCATGCCAGGCAAGGGCGATAACATCTCGCCACTCAAAAACTGCACAGACTCTCCAATGATTGTCAAAATTCACTTGCTGCTCAAACCTCCAGCATGCCCCTCCCCCACCCCTCCAGCGTGCAAGTGAACGTCTCGCGCAGTCTCGGCGAAACCCACGAACCCAGGGGTCGGCAAGCTGTGGTTCCGGAGCCGCATGCCAGCTCTTTAAGGACTGCTGCTTCGTGACGTCGTTCATTAAGGGATCACCGTCTCGCATAAACGTGCCTTGTGGCTCCTGAAATATTGAATTTGTTACCCAATTCGAACAAAATGGCTCTTCTTGTTACGATTGGTTCATTGACGACCCCCGCACGAACCCCACCGTATCCACTGGACTATTTTTTCCCGGTATCAAAATGATACCGGCTTTACCCTTCCCAGTAATAATACAAGTGTTAAGATGTTCATGCACCAAATAGACAACTATCGCAAGGCATCAAGTCTCCATTGACCACACATGATTGTGTTGAAACATGCAAACAAGCATGCTTCGATAATAACGTATGCACCGTCTTCGAAACCGATTGGCCTACACCAGAGACAGCCTCATGTATGGCCTCGTCTCACCTGCGTTAGAGCAGAGAACGCCAAAAGGGTGAACAGCACCAAGGCAATGCAAACAGCATCAATATTTGGGGTGGAGCAGTCGTATCCATGAGACCCTGTTTGCCGGTTATCAAAATTGTGAAATAAGAACAGGCTTTGAACATCCCAACACAATCCGTATTGCTGCCGGAAAGGGTAAAGCCTTTTCATTTTTCCCATAAGCCCACTGTGAGGCACAAGATGGCAGGCACGCATCATAGACACTGCACTCTCCACTGATACAAAGGGCACTGAAATGAAGCAAAATGTGGAGGGAACAGCATCTAAAAAATGGGCAAGAGAAGAAATATAAAAAAATTATAACTTACAATTATTTAATTATTATTAACTAAAAAGAATTTATTTTACCAGAAAAAGTCCACTGAGCTTTACAGCTATTTTTCAGAGGTGAACCGGCCACCAGTGTTAGACCAGAGGCTCGAAAGAAAGCTGTCTATGGTGTGGACCAATCAGTTTCAAAGACAATGCATCATATTATCAGAGTATGTTTTTTGTTTGCATTCTGACCACAAGCATTGTGGTTAATGCAGACATGATTCCTTGTAAAAGGTTTCAGGTTGGTGTTTTAACATCTTAACACCTATATTCTTGGTTCTTTCGGTAAAGTCACGTAGAAGGGAAACAATAAAATAATAAAAATATAAAACAAAATTCTCACGACGTTTCGACTGCAACACAAGCAATCATCATCAGGTGTGAAAACCACTTTTTTCAAATTTTCTTGCTGTGGTTTTCACACCTGATGATGATTGCTTGTGTTGCAGTCGAAACGTCGTGAGAATTTTATCATTTTATATTTTTATCATTTTATTGTTTCCCTTCTACGTGACTTTACCGAAAGAACCAAGAATATCAATCCCTGCAGTCACGAAAGCTTTAAATCAAAATCTTAACACCTGTTTTGTTGGCAGAAAAAAAGGGGCAAAACTATTCTCATATTTTGGTACTGGCAAAGGAGTTCCCATGATGTTCAACACATTGGTCAATGTTGGTTAATGAAGGGTGGTGGGGCGGAACGGTGGGGGGGGGAAGGGCAAGATGGGTTCAGATATCACTCCCCTACTTATATTAGCCCAGGCCAGAAATAGATTTCAGGTCTCCAGATTCAAAACTTTGTTGAGCTAACCTCTGTGTCACCAATGCTAATGAAAATCTAGACAGACAGAAATAAAACAAAACCTTGCGTCAGAAGAGCCATTAGCAATAAGCCCCTCTAGCCATGTGCATAGGTGGGGCAAAATCAATGCATCTGGCACCCTGCACGAAGTATAACCACAGCGGTTGGCATGTACAGCTCCGGAGATGGCCCATAGTTTGCTAACAGAATAATCAATGGGCAACACAGAAGGAAATGGAAGCTGATTCACAAGCAACCCAACTCTGCGCTTGGCAGCAGTGTGACAGCGGCCAATTGCATAAACCTCGCCAAGAAGGAATTTTCTCATTTGGCGGCCAAGAGCGCTTTTAAATTTCTGGAAAAGTAAGGCTGAGGAAAGAATGACTGTTACAGCGCATAACAACAACAATAATAATATTCTCCTGCCCTCTGAACAGTCAGAGTAACTATGACTTTCTTTGTAAATTAGCACGCTAAACGCACCAGCACTGTTTGTACACCGCATTGTTAGCTGTGAGTACCAAACAAATACAATATGCTCACCGCATCTGCCTAATTCTTGACCCATATGTGAACTTGTGCAAAAATCAGTACCGCATAATTTCGGCAGACTTCACAATTACCAGTAACCTAATGCTATGGTGGCACTATCTATCTTAGGGAAATTACCTGGTGTATTAACTTTGTTTGCTCATAGTCAAATTCTGTCAACTGGCAATCCAATTAATAATAAATATACAGGAGTTGTTTAACCTGATGCGATAATTCCGTGTTTGTTTCCCTTGCGTGATGAACGCGTAGCTCGCGTGACAATTACCGACGATCACAAACAGAACCACGGGCAACATTTCCAGCAGCAAATGCACACGAGTGAGATGGGGATGTGTTCCCAACTGCTTTCTTTTCGCTGGTTGCATATGCACAACATGGCTTAGATGGATCACTGCATGGGTGGAGAATAAATTTGCAGACACCCTGTACCCACGGTGCTAACACGGTTTCTTGGAAGTAATAAAAAAAAGCATTCAAACAGATCCCATGTGCCGAGTGGGAAAGAATGATTCACACCCCTAAAGGTAATGCATTTTGGGAAATGCAACACAATCACCATGAACTGTAAACCCTGTGAAATGCAAAGATAAGCCCATCACGGATGTACCCGTGAGTTTTGCATTGTTTTTTTCAAACCAGTCATGGTTGATGCGTGCGAAACTATTGATACAATACGTGCATAAATACAGATTTAAAATAGAACATTACTTCATCTCTGACATTGTTATGAAAGTGCGAGATCAAATTTAAACCCATAAAATATGCTTTACAAGGACGCTTCACTCGCTATAATATACACCAGAACTGCGCACACAAGAATTGCATTCCAACTACTCTTTTATGCCCTTATCAAAATTAACTCCCATCATCTTGACTTAAGCCGAATGACATTAAAGTACTGTAAACCAAACTCCTCTCATTGAATAGATAATTGTTTTTCCAATGTCATTAAGTATGTGCTCTCGTGCATATGGCAAGAATAGGTACGCGGTTAAACATGATCAGTTATCGCTGAGTTCACGAGCGTTTAAACAGACCCGGCGTAACGATTTGAATAGCCACGTTCATTATTCGAACGGTGTCCTTGAGCGGCACGCAAGAAGGGCAATGGAGGCTCTTATGGTTCTGTTCCTGAGAGACAGCGTCATCGATTGCTGTTTTCATGACAATAAAACGCAGCCTACATTGCCTCCACGGTGATGAATAAGGTACCTCGATAAAGATCAGCTCAGTTTTGCTCAGATGAGGTGAAATGCAAGCGGGCAGAGCTTTAGTAAGATATTGTAATTTCAGATAATTCCCGAGCAAATACTAAATGAGTGGGTATACGAATACTAGAATGAGCATCGTCTGGGACTCATCTCAGCTGGGAGGGTACCAAGGTGAGGAGGTGGACATCTGTGAAAAAGAGCTTTAAAGCTCATCGGATTCGTCCACTATAAATAAATATATCCTGATTCACAGTTGCTTTCCCACAAAGTGGTACTTATTTTAAGAACCTTTCAAGAATGATGAGCTGAATCAAACCCCACAGACCTTCCAATTAATTTCATTCACTTCAACTTTAATTGATATTCAATGTGACAACTACCAACTCAATGCCCTTCACAAGATTACAATAAGCCAAGAGTATGGTACAACAATCGGTAAGGTTACAGGTTGACCAATACACCTTGAAGTCATGAAGCAATGCTACGTGACAGATACCGGTACAAGACCAACCACAAAATGTGATTGCGTTCAAAACGATAATGGTGAGATGCAGTAATACGGCTTTGGTAAGCGCACTTAGAAATGTCAATTAAATTTCCGCGATTACCAGTTGAAGGATGCTCGAGACACTCTCCCAGTTTGCTTCTTCGATGTGGTCTCCTCCATCCACCATCCCTTGGTAACCCTGAACAACGCGGGGGAAAAACCCACAAAACGTTCAATGCAAAGACGCTCGTGCAATAAAAAAAAACCTAGGCACAACAATACAAAAAACATCGCTCATCCTCTGTGACTTGGCCGGCATTTCATTGGCACGCGTGCTCACAACCACTCATTAGCGCAACGATGACACTTCTGATTTCGCTTGAAGACTTGTGTAACATTCCTTATTTTACCTGAAGTACCTTGAGAACACACACATATATATGCATGCGAGGTGATAATGCTTAAAATATTTGTGTGGATAGGTCCGCAACATACTTGCTGTACTTTCAACAGACTGCTCACCTTTAAACCGTGTAGGTGGGCGTCTCATACTCTCGCCGATGTCTGCCATCGTACAGTCCTAACAGCTAGCAGCTAATGTCCTTCAGAAAATCCACACTCTCTTGGCTTGCCCGTGCACACACTAAATCATTCATCTGAATTGGACCGGATGTGCTTTTGAGCTAAGTGGGCAGAAGGAGCCACAGACAGAGATACAAAAAAAAAACCCTGACTTCTGCCGGGTCTGTGAAGGCTGGGAAGGTCAGCAACAGTCCATGGGCACTGCAGACGACGAGTTATTTCTGGATACCAGGGTCAAAACTCGTTTTTCATTGCGGATTGGCTCGTAACCTGTGTCGCGATCCCTCACTCTGTGGCAGATAATAAGAGCTTTCACTGCACCTGTATTCGTCATTGTAATATTCCTCCACTCACCTGAACAAACGATGACGCTAAATACAACTGCATTTAAAAATGTGTATTGTAACTTTCATCCTTGCCCGTGTATCGACAGTTCAATTGAAATGTGCAATTTTATTGCATTGACTGCGCATTGTCTTGGTGTGGTCTGGGACTGTTTCTGCTGTTGTTTTCCTGCCTTGCCCAAGCTTGGGAATTGGTATACTTATGCAATTTGAACTTATATATTTTATATATTTCACGTATTTATTTTTTGTGATTTGCTTTCCTTCCCTATACTTTGCACTCCGATCGTTTTTTGTCTTGTTTGTTATTTTAACTTTCTGACCTGTCCCTACTGGACATCTGTGAACAAGAGCTCCATAGCTCATCAGATTACTATAGGATAAATAAAGATTCTGATTCGAAAGATTCTGATTTGGATTGCCAAGAGGAGATTCCACACACATTTACTGAGTGAATGGAAACGAGGCAAAATGGGTGAATGGCAGGTTGAGAGGAGAGTTGACCCAATGTAGTGTAAAAGCCATTCATAATCATCTTAATCATCATAATCTGCCATAACTTAGCTACTGCTGGTAATGACAAGTTGAGACGAGTGATCCAATGTAGTCTAAAAGCCATTCATAATCATCTTAACCATCATCATCATCATCTGCCATGATTTATCCACTGCTGGATGAAGGCCTGTCACCATCTGCGGTTGTAGTAGTACCCAAACGTGCATGCGCAATCAACCGTGGATTGTAGTCTTTTTTTGTAATGAAACACCCACTCCAGCGTGATTCAGCGTCAGTCACACATCCCAGCAGTGTGACAAACCAACGGTCACGAGGTCCCAATTTCCATAAGCTACGTGCGCCACATATTCAGCAGCATTTTTCCTTTCAAGCATATTTTTTTCTTATTTTTTTTGCTCAGATGAGTGTAATGACTTTTAGGAAGGGTCCTGCCAAATTTTCCACAGTAGGGGGGGGGGGAGGGAGATGTTACTCTGTGTGAACCCAACTGAGTAATTTGCAAATAACTTTTCAGCACATTGAGATGTTTTGTCCAACCTCGGTTACACCGTGGGTTGGGTTTTATTTTAGTTAAGGGAGGAAATCGGAGAACCCAGAGGAAACCAATGCGGAATGGATGGGGGGGGGCGTGGTGGTGGGGGAGGAAAAATACCAACTCCACGCAGATAGGGCACCCAAGTAGGAAAACAAAGGCACATATACGCAGACGCAGCCTGAGATGACAAATTATGTTTATCTGCCAGGATTTTTGGTCGCTACTAGAATGACAAAAATTTTAAACGTTAAAGACATCATAGCTTTACAGTAGGAGACTGCCAGCAAAACGAACCTGCATTGAGTGGAGCACGTGGCTTATGGAGATTATATCGTGAGCAGTTGTGGTTTGTCACATTGCATGTACGCGTGACTAATGTTGAATCACACAGCAGTGGGAGGTTTGTTTAAAAAGATAAATGTATAATTCCACAAATTAAATTGCATGCCAGGTCTTAAATTGTGCTTCCGCTAAAACGAAAAACTCTTTTTTTATTTTACCAGGTAAGGCCCACTGAGCTAAATATCTCTTTTTCAGAAGCCACCTGGCCACAAATCATAGCTCAACGAAGTGGCTTATTACATGGACATTTTATAGCAGCCAAACACTCTAACGTGTGATGTTTATTATAAATGTGGAGGGAAAAACTGGAGAACCCGAAGAAGAATCCACACGACAACGGGGAGAACAAGCAAACTCCAAATATACAGCAGGCGTCAGGGTTGGGATCGAACTCACGACCTCCTGTATACCAGGCAATGTAGTTAACATCTCCTAGCCACCGTGATGATGATGATGATTGAGAGAGAGACATCCAAACTCCAAATGTACAGCAGGCGTCAGGGTTGGGATTGAACTCACGACCTCCTGTGTACCAGGCAATGTAGTTAACATCTCCTAGGCACCGTGATGACGATAATGATGATGATGATTGAGAGAGAGACATGCAAACTCCAAATATACAGCAGGCGTCAGGGTTGGAATCGAACTCACGACCTCCTGTATACCAGGCAATGTAGTTAACATCTCCTAGCCACCGTGATGATGATGATGATTGAGAGAGAGACATCCAAACTCCAAATGTATAGCAGGCGTCAGGGTTGGGATCGAACTCACGACCTCCTGTGTACCAGGCAATGTAGTTAACATCTCCTAGGCACCGTGATGACGATGATGATGATGATGATTGAGAGAGAGACATGCAAACTCCAAATATACAGCAGGCGTCAGGGTTGGGATCGAACTCACGACCTCCTGTATACCAGGCAATGTAGTTAACATCTCCTAGCCACCGTGATGATGATGATGATTGAGAGAGAGAGACATGCAAACTCCAAATATACAGCAGGCATCAGGGTTGAGATCGAACTCACGACCTCCTGTATACCAGGCAATGTAGTTAACATCTCGCCAACCATGCTCCAATGCCCATCCCAGAGACTGCACTGGGAAAGGTAAAAGTGCCACCCCAAACGCATTTTCTCAATACCACTGCTGGCGTAAGGGCCTCCACCCGCAACCCCCACCACGAACATCTCTCTCATCAAGGAGCACAAACCGTCACGCTAACTCCAGTCATCCTTGAAGCGCCTTTTGGCTAACCATCGAACAAAGACGGTCACCGCATCGCGCATCTAAAGATGCAATCCTGCAGCCGTCTGGAACACTCTTCCTTCCGATATTAGGAATAAACTGGAGCTACGCACTTTTAAGTATAGATTGAAAACTAACTTCTTTAAAACTGCTATTTGTGTTTAGTTTGTTTTCCTTTCCAGCACCTCCAATAAGCACGGTTGGCTACGTACGGTGCGATATAAGTTTAATTATTATACATACATCGCGAATGGGAATATTTATACAATTATCGAGAGACAACACCAATTATGGATTACTAGAAGGTAGCCTGTCCTACAAACGAGATGACGTCACACTCACCAGACACTCACCACTGGACTAACTCCAGTCCGTTGGCAGGGCTTTCTAGTCCAGAGTGGTGGGTGTCAGTGCGTGCAATAGCGCGTTACGTCCAAGTGGCGGCGCACCACTCGACGTGATTACAATGCGATGATCATTTTACTGGGGGTCGGCAACCACAAGAACAAAGAGAAGCCGTTGCTTTCCCAATACGGTAAAATAAAACTCAATATTTCAAGAGCCGTAATGCTCGTGAATACATACATACACACACACATACATAACGTCACGAAGCAGTGCGTAAAGAGCCACATGTGGCTCAAGACCCGCAAGGTTGCCGAACCCTGATTTTACAAAGGTCAAGCAACGGGTCGTGTAGTACGACTCCTCTTGAAAAGTCATAGTTCCCCGAATGTCTCTGGTCAAAAGGAGCCATCGCTGGATCCCGGATAATGAGGATTACTCAACGAGATGCTGTGAAAGACAGCAGTCCCATCCCATTGGCCCATGCATAGCTATCATTTGTGGCCAGGTTGCTTCTGAAAAAAGAGCTATATATACACACACAGTATATCGTCGTTATTCACGAACTTGCTATCCACGATGTAAGCTACCCGTGAATTACATCTGGAACACTACACGACTGGCATCAAGAGAGAGAGAGTGAGAGAGAGAGAGTGAGAAAGAAAGTGATGAGAGATCAAGTGATGAGAGAGAATGTTATGCAAGAAAGCGATCAGAGATAAAGTGATGAGATATAAAGAGATGAGTTCTTATGATAATGTTCATGTATTTAATGTTATTTAAGTATTTATTTACAGTAATTAATTAAAAATATAGGATTTCGTTGGCCAATATCATAATCCGCAAATTTGCTATTCACGAGCATCTCCGCAACGTACCCCTCACGAATAACAAGGGAATACTCTAGCTCGGTGGGCCGTACCTGGTAAAATAAAAATAAATTGTGCAGTTTAGTTTAAGCCCTCTGCCTTCTCTTCTGTTTGCCTCTCCCATTGGGCCCTCCCATTGGTCCTCACCTTTTCCCACACTGTTTTACCACCTGGACCACTCATTTATTTTTTAGCAAATATAAAGATCACCTCTCCACATTAGTTCCACGGCTGCTGTGATCAGGCGATAAATACGATACGTGTCGAACGATACAAGATCCACAATAATCCTACTGTCCGTTTTGCACAATATCACCATACTGTGATTATCATAGTGAATTGTTTTTAAATACATGTATTTGCCGACAATAAATTTACTTGCCGGCAATACACTTTAAACAACAATACTTAAAGATCACAAGAACAACGCATTAAAAAAATATGTTAATGTACAGATTAAATGAGTGCAATATACCCAATGGTTATATGGTGTGTTTCAGAAAGCTCGTGCGTCATTACCGTGACAGATTGAAAACGTTGCAACGATTAAAAAGGCTTATGACAAGATGATCCTGAGTGAAACTCAGTTGAATAACTTTTAACTGTGCACGTTTTTGTGACATTATGATTTGTCACATTTTAACCAAGAACGTACGATTTTTATGTTGAAAAATTATTTCAATAAATTTTCTAACAAAAAATATATACAGATATAAAGACCTCGGAGTGTGTTTTTATTGCAACATAAGGTGCCTGCGTTTATAACAATGTGCAATTACATTTATTTATTGTAAACGTTGCATTCACCCCTGCATAACGTAAGTTGCTACTCATATGCGTTTACAATAATATTAAGTATGTTGGCTAATTATTTTGGAAAAATGGATACGTATTATTATCTGTACATGATAACTATTAAATTAGAAAATTATAAACACAAACTTTGGATGCATCACAATCTTGGTTAATTTTAATATTAATTTACGTTTGACTTATTTAATTTTTTCAATTCCTCAAATATTTTTTTACCCACAACAAAACATTACTAAATAAATGTATAAAACATCCCATACAGGAGGCTCGGTAGGACATCCGTAAATGCATTTGAGCCTTTCTTCAATGTCAACTAAGGACGATAACATTTTAGGCCTGTCGAAAAAGTGAAAATTTTAATATATATTTTTTTATATTATTTGCATTGTTTACATTTTCATTGGTAAGAGAGCTGAGTGTGACCTACTTTCCACAGATGAAAATCTGGCTTTGTTCCAGCCATACAATGGTGCAAGATGTTAACTACCTGGCCCGGTGTACAGGAGGTTGTGGGTTCCATCCCAACCCTGACGTCTGTATATATTGGGGGTTTTCATGTTCTCCCCGTGGTCGTGTGGATTTCTCTCCGGGTTCTCCGGTTTTTCCCTCCACATTTAGAAACATGCGTTTAAGAGTATTTGGCTGCTATACATTTCCACGTGATAAGCCGCTTCGTTGAGCTCTCATTTGTTGCCAGGCCGCTTCTGAAGAGCTATATAGCTCAGTGGGCCTTACCTGGTGGAATACAAGTAATAGTAGTAGTATGCAGATTCAAAGGTAAACTAAATGAGGCAGCATCTCAAGGCGCTACAGAGAAACTGACTGCTTATGACGCTCGGTCATAGGCATCGGGGAAAAAAGGATAGTCTTGAGGCTGGCCCTGAACAGGGGCAGGCAGTCAACAGCACAGATGACTGGAGCAAGTATGTTCCAGATTTATGAGGGCAGCAGATAAGAAGAAGAATGAGTGAGCTGACGTTAGTTCTCACCTGGCACAGTTTCACTCAGCTGAGCCACGCGTTTAGCCCAGTGTAAAATATGACTGACGGCTGCGTCAAATAAGGCACCACCTACCTCATGGACGAAATAGACCTTGGCCCCAACATAGATGCCCATGCGCACCACGGCACGGACGGCTGCATTCATGCCTGCAGAACAAAGCACAAGTAGAAAGGTCCGTCAAGAAAGCTGCCTTGCGAGGTTGTTTACAACAACAAACAAACGAATTAGAAAATACAAAAAAAGTGCCGGAAATAATACTGATCGTCAACATCATCATCAGACGTGGTCTATCCACTGCTGTATGAAGCTCCCCCCTGCCCCACCATCAAGCCGCCATCAACTGTGAGGACCCTGCAAAGTAAATAATCCACCTAGCACGTGCACACACACTTCAGGGATGAACAAGCACACTCTATGAATAGTGAATTTCAACCATGTGTCAATCCACTGCTGGATGCGAAGGCCTCGCCACTCCTCTCGATCACTGGGGTCCTTTGACCATGCTTCACTGTGCTGGTGAGTATGGGTTGATAACGTTGGGTGGGGGGGGGGGGTGCGGTTGGTGGGGGGCAAGACTGGTTGAGAAATCCCTTGCCCACTGATTGTAGCCTTGGCAGGAAATCGAACTCAGGTAGCGGAGTTCATAGTGCAAGTGCGTTAACCACTGTACTTCTGAACCACCTGAAAAGGAAAGATGACTGTTTAAAAAAAAACAACACGTAATTGTAAAACCCTTTAGTAAAAAAAAGTACAGTTGTTCTTGTCTAATTCAGCAATATATTTATCTAGACTTATCAAAGCAGCCCATTATCCCTTATGGGTCAGTAAAGTAAATACCACCTCATTGAGCTGAGCCTGGCCAAGAAGACACCGCAAAACGAACGTCACCAAAAAATGCAATGATGTGGTAAACGCACGTGAAGATGTGCATGCAGCGGTAAATACGAACTGCAATTTCACCCCTGCTTGTGTCATTTATAATGGGTCCGCTCTGACTACAGGGTGGTCCAGATGACTTGTGACCCCCCCCCCAATGAATTGACCCCCTCAGGCATTTTATTATTTCTACTTTGCATATGCATTTCTGTTTTGAACAAACCTCACGTTAGAAAGATGGAGTTTTTTGAGAGTTAAATGGGGTTCACAAGACATCTGGACCACGCTGTATGTACAATCACAATATTTTCTTCAGCAATGCAGATGCGAGATTAATGCACTCAGTTTTCGCTCCGCCGCTACATTACATGTAGCCCTATGACGCTACAATGATGTAACAGAGAGATAGAATCACCACCACTCTGAATTCCCCGAGTATTTTCGTTACTGCCTAGTAAACAGTGTACAGTGTTTCCCCATTGCAAAAACACAGATTCATCAATCTTACACAATCTGGAAGGGCAAGCATTCCAACATTCCACGTTGCCTTTCATTCACATAGACGCCACCCACGTTTCTAATTGCATCTTGATGACTCTCCGCATTATTTCCAGAAGGTAAATTGCATTACTTAACATTTCCCAGTCAGAGTTCATAATGCATTATTGCTAAAACTCTGTGATACTGGTGAGACAATCACATATTCGTTAGGCTCAAGATTACCTCTTGAGAACGCACACCCCCCGCCAAACATTCCTGGTGCCTTAAGTATCAACTCGCGTTTCGTTCTTGTGCATTTCCGCCGCGGATGCCATTTTAGAATTTGAATTCCGTCCAAGTTATTACGTTTTAAAGTCCGCGACTGTATTTGTGCAATTTGCTGCAATTAAACCAGTTTAGAACCAGCCGAAACACGAGTCGACATCTTTGCACTGGTTACAGGTGTAACAGATACTTTTGCTCGTACTGCAACCCACAAACTTGGCAATTCAATCCTGGAGTAATGTGGCATTCAGAATAAACACCTCATTCGAGACCCAAACGTCACACCTTCTGGCTTTTGACATTCCTCAAAAGACACTGGTGGGAACCATCAACCGCATCGGAACATCTATGAGCCAACGCGCACATCTGCCACATGAATGGGAAATTAAAGCCAATGCCACAACAGTGCTGCGATTGTGCCCACGCAACCCAAACTAAGGACCATCGAGGAGGAAAAGCAAAACGACACGAAACGAACTCCCCTGCGGCGCCCTCGTGGCGAGCAGACCTCGACATTGGCATCTAGTTCCTGAACGCAACAGTATCGCCATACACAATCACAGAAAACTGGCGTTACAGTACGATGTAATGCACTGCGAAGGTTGTTTTAGCTTTCTGGACAATTGTTTTATGCACTGCACAGCTCCCCGCTACAAAGCCCAATGTGACCGTACTGTTATGCGAAAGCCTCATCAAGCGTCTAATGTTTCTTAGCTCGCTCAAGGACGAAGGGGGCAAATTGTAAACCCTAAACGCCCAACGCGACCGGCTGCTGCAGGACCTCCTGGAGCTGCAGCACTGCCCACCGCTCGTCATTGCGGACGTTTCTCTCGCCAAATCTAACTCCCTCAACCCGGGGGCACCACGGTGGCGACATGTTGACTGCCTTGCCTTGTATAGAGGAGACCGTGGGTTCGACCCTGACGCCTGTACATTTGGAGTTTGCATGTTCTCCCCGTGGTCACGTGGATTTTTTCCGGGGTCCTTCGGCTTTTTCCCTGCACATTTAGAAACGTGCGTTTAGAGTATTTGTCTGCTATATATTTGCACGTGATGATAAGCCACTTCGTTGAGCCATCAGGTCGAGCTGTATAGCTCAGTGGGCCTTGCCTGGTAAAATGGAAAGCTTAGTAAAGTCGTGCCGCCGGCAACCCACCATGGAATGACGCCGTGTGTCACTTATCCGGCAAACAGCCGTGCAGAGCGTTACGGCTTAAAGTCTCGACTCTCCCTCGCCAAAATCCACTGTTGTTGCCGTGTCCTTCTACTAGGGCTAAACGATTAATCGATTTCAAATCGAAATCGCAATTTGAAACAATGCGATAAGCAAATGTTAAAGGCTGCGATTTTTTGCGATTTGAAAAGTGGTATGACTTGCTTATTGGATTTTTATTATTATTATTATAACTTTCTTTATTTAACTTAACAATTGTTCTATTTCAATTAAAACATTCAAATAAATACATGTTGGAAGCAATTCATATCTTTTAAGTTCTCATCCATGCATTAGAATATATAGAGCAGTTCATATGTTGATGGTATCACGTGGTAATGCTCCATCACATGTTTTAAATCTATTACGCAGTGAATATTGAACTGAAGCTTGACTTAAAAAAAAATGTAATCGAAAGTCAAATCGCAATATCTGTCAGAAAAATCGCAATTAGATATTTTCCCCAAATCGTTCAGCCCCTAGCTTCCACGCTCCCCCGCCCTCACCAACCGGCACAAAACCAGCGTGGGGGAAGTGTGGTCACGTAATAATCCCCACGGCCCATAAGGTGTAGAGGCGAGGCCCTCATCCGGCAGTGGATTATAACCAAGTGCTGCACTCGACACGGGCAATCACACTTTTGCGTCCGTGGCACCAGGGTCTGCAGAGCACTCTCTTGCCGAAGGCTGTCACAGCGGGTACGGTTGTGGACCTTCAAGTCTCGAATTAAAATAACTCCTCTTTCAAGAAGCATTTATTGTTTTAACTCTGCCACTTCTTACCCATCCCCTCCCGTTATCATCGTAGCAAAGCGCCTTGAGATGACATTCTGAAAAGCGCGATATGAGCTGTAATTAATTATTATTACATATACATGTGCACACTGTCCTAATACACCAACAAAAATGTATTTGGTCCACATGAATAATCTCATGACATTTGTAATGCACTGTACCTGTACACCTGACAGGCTATGAAGAAGGACCATTGTCTAAAACGTCACCAATGCTATATTGCCACCCAACCTCTTAAACGCCACGGCCGCGGTATTGTCGAATGTGTTGAGTTTTTGATGATGGACTGTGCATACCTGTCAACCCCTTATCAGTGCCTACCTTGATAATTGTTTTTTTACCCTTTTATCTGGCAACAAAACTGACACCTTTTTTACAAGGAGTAATGTTTAAATTGACAATACCTGCGGTCGGAACGCAAACAAAAAACAACACAAACTCTGATAATGTATGCACTGTCCTTGAATTTGATTGGTCCACACCCGAGACAGCTTTCTTTAGAGCCTCGTCTCACACAATGCACCATCAGAGTATGAGCATTGTCTTTGAGTTGTGCGCCTTTTGGCGTCTTCTGGTCCAACACCATGTGAGACGAGGCTCTAAAGAAAGCTGTCTCGGGTGTGGACCAATCAATTTCAAGGACAGTGCCACATACATTATCAGAGTTGTTGTTTTTTGTTTGCGTTCCGACCGCAGGTATTGTGGTCAATGTAAACATGACTCCTTGTAAAAAAAAGGTGTCAGTTTTCTTGCCAGATATAAGGGCAAAAAACCAATTATCATATTTTGTTACTGGCAAATGACGTTTCCAGTGGTGAGTGCCTACCTTATTACAGCCCAATTCACACCTTATTGGTCACCCCGTGTCCATATAAATCTCAACGTTCATCCTACAAAATCCCATCACAAGGGAGAAACACAAGCAAATAGACAAAAAAATATGTTTGCCCGTAGTGAAACGGCTGTACGCCGTATGGACCTGAAAACTAAATTTCCCTGTACAAGAATACGGGGAAAACCGTATGGGTTGACAGGTATGGCTGTATGTTGCATCGGTTTAGCCAAAGATACACAACCCTCCACAGTGGTTGTAAATGTACAAAGGTTTAACAGACGTGTGCTGCCCACAACTGGTTCTATTTTTTTCCTGCCGAGGCCTGTGCCATTGAAGAAAACATCCACCCTACTGCCTTCACGAATAACACACACGGTAACCATACAGCACGCGCTCTGCTTTATTGTGAACCTTTTGTGGACTGTGCTGGATCACCAAATTCAGTTATCTTACACACTGCAAATGTAAACTCAGCAACCATTCATAAGACTGGTTAGACTCGTATTTATTTAATGGTGACCATAAATAGCTAAAGACGTGTTAATAAGTAATGATGTATGTACGGTACATCGGTGCAAGTGCAGAGCTACTATTGCAACTAGTCTTTCAAATACAGTGGGTATTTATTTTTTTACCTGCTTTTTTGTAATGGAGGTCATCTCA